ATCTCCTATAATAATATTCTGATAATTTCCTCTAAATTTCTATTCGACGTTCTGTTGTTGCTCCAGAGATCTGACCGGCAAGGATTTGCATCCACTTTTTTAATCCAGAGTTGTTGTGTTTGCTTTTGTGGGTCATTTGCATTGGTAGGAATTTGCTCGTGATTCACCGATGGTATAAAAATTTCTTTCACAGACGATGAATATAACACTCGAATGAACATGAATCGGAAATATATGCTGCGTCTCGTCACACTGGATGCGGATAACAACCGGAAATGACCAATCTATCTGTCTGAAGGCCACTAGGCTTTCGCCTGGCTCCAGGCCAGTGCTTTCTCCAAAAATGTAGGGGGCTTGGCGTCTTGGTCAGCACCACAGGGCGGAAAAACGTAATGAGCAACAAATTGTCATTAAAAAAACCCCAGAAGGCTAAAGGCTCTTATACCTGCTGACAATGAAAAAATGAATTTTCCGTATGAAAACAACCTACCTAAAGGTCTTCAAAGCAAAAGATCAGCTTCGCAGCCAAGCCATGATTCACCATTAAGCTATGTTTAATAACTCGTCCTTGCGAGGGTCTTTGACTGAAGACAAGGAACAAGTAAAGCTGGTTTTTCAAAGGTAATAAATCTGGGTATGTAAAAAAGACAACCGTAAACTACTAATAACAGAATAAAAGTAAGTTTTAATTCAGCTCGGCAAAAAAAGTGAACAACTGGATGCAAAATCAACTCACAAATCCAATGCACAATCAGAAAAATACTCTCCTCTTTTGGAAAAGTTCAAAACTTTTTATTCCACCTCAGACTGAGAATGATCCGCTTTTCCTTTAACCTTGGTTGTTCTGAATCCAAAGTAATTTTCAAGTGACGAAAAAACAAACAAACAAACAAATGACATGTTTTTAACTGAAAGGATGTAATTGAAGTTTGCTGCTTTAAGAGATGGCATCACTTGGCCGTGTACGTCCGTACCGCCTCCATTGACCTAAGTGACTTCCCGTTAATAATTAACTAAGAAAAACCTCTACAAGGCAAAATTGAGATTATTTGACACTGTATTAACATGAATAAAATTTTTTTCTCGCTTTATCGCAGAGACAATTCTGTTATGTTAACTGGTTGTTTTATCATGTTATTTGAACAACTGTTGAAAGCTCTGTCTTGGATGTAATCAACAGCGCTTTCTGGGCCCGTTAATTATCGGCACTTCGAGAAACAGGCCTCTGGTTCGAGCCTTGCTGTCATGTTGTTTCCTTACACAAGAAACGTTTTTGTGTGCTGAGATAGTAAATGCAGTAAATACGGAACTACATGTAAATGTTGTGATATGTGTGTGTGGACATTAGAAAGATGTGAATTGTTTGTTGGCTGGTTTTCCTTTAGCATACATGTAAATTCAAAAGATGAATGTGCACATGACAAGTTATCTGAACTGTCCCTGGCACACGGCAGAGAAGCAAATGGTAATTGCCATTACTTATGCGCAACTGCTGTAACTCTGTTTCGTTTGTCTTGTTTGTTTGTTTGTAGTGCTTAGTGCAGTGCAGGAAAGATGTCTGTGAAAGACTTGGCCTCAGTGAGGAAGATGTGAAGCTGAGTATGGGAATGTCAAGTGATTTTGACAAAGCAGTAGGTACCCTAATGCATGGCTGGTACAACTAGCTGGTGTTGTAGTATTTGATTTCTGTGTTGCTGTAAACACCATAATGCCACATCCGCAAATGAAATGCTCATAATGCTCAAAGAAACCCTGCCCTACATTCAAGGGTATCTAGATTATAAAACACAGATTGGGGACGCCTGACCGTGGATTATCATTGATTTCTTGATCTTCGTGCCAATTGTCGGAAATCCCGCCTATGCGAAAAGGGTCTCAAGAAAGGAGTTGCTAGCCCAAACACGTTCCTTCCTTAGGTCTTTCTTCAAAGTATCTAACTGAAGCCGCAACTTAACGTCTTGCTTTGAAACTAAAATTACGCAGGTCTAGCGCTATTCACGGTAGTTACGTCACTTGCTGCAAAACAAATTTGCCTTGTGCATGCCGGTAAAACGCACGACATGTACAGATTTTGTTTAAAAAAGTAGAACCACTCTCTACATTCTGCAACAACTTTCGCAACCTGCAACAAGCTGATTTGTTGCAAGACAGGTTTGATTCGTGGGTGGTAAAACGCGCAACATCGCTCTTTAGCACGTTTTGCAGCAATGGTGCATAACAAGTTGCAGCTTTTTGTGCCCACTTTACTGTACCTTAAAAAGAAATGATTTTTAAAGACTTACAGATTTTAATGGGAAGTACAAATGTGCGAGTAGGCAGTACATTCTTCAGTGCCAGACAACCTAAACAACCAAGCAGTGCCAATGCTGCGGGGAGATTTCCTCAGCAATCCCCGCGGGAAATAATGGTATCCGGTGGGACCTCCTAACTAAAAACGTCCCAAGGAACAAACCCAGCACCCGGTGCGGAACAAGACACTTTTCCTCCGGAAAGTGTCAATGTCCACCAGCAGTGACAATGTGTGTGACAAAAATTCTGGTTTCGCAGGCTGCGGGTATATGCGACAGCGATATATCGAGCATTACATCTTTTGTTGCCCTAATCAAGGATGCTGGTGTAGCATAGACTCCATGCCAAGGAAACTTAACTAACTGTTTTAACGCCTCGGCAAGTTTGTCATGGGTAAATACGAGCAACGTAATGAAATATGTGCTTGAATAGTCCATAATAACAAGTCCTTTGCCGGTATTGCCGGTATTAAACGCGTACAACCAAACAGTGTAAACGTAGAAAGATGCGATCTAAGGGTTTTGATCAACTGTAAAGGGTCTATATAGATGACGTAAAGAAATACCGAGGTACGCTGTTAACTTTTGAATATTCTTCACTGTGTAACTGCTCAGTTACCCAACCTTTGCCCCCCCCCTTCCCCGCCCTCAAACACATACACCGACATCCCGCCCCCGGCATAAAAAGGGTTTGTGCAAGCCAATAGTCAATCATTAATATGTCGGACTGGTTTCTTCTGAAAGTGGGTCAGTAAAAGCTAATGAGAGGTCGTGGGTTTTAACGGGAAAACGACCTATTTCAACGGTCAAAGATTTCAAATGGCCAAGAGATCTTTTCCCAGCGATTGGTTGCCCATAGATTCTAAACGTCCGGGAGCTAGGGATAAAAATTTGTTCAAGAAATAATCTCAATGTACGGTGTTTCGACGTAAAATTGTATCTTCAGGTGTTAAAAACGCATTGCGGAAGGGCGAGAATTGCTTAAAATCCTTAGTCTTCAAACATGAACTATCTAGATTGCTCTTTATTACGAACTGGTTCATGAAATTACCCTTGCAAAGTTTAAATGCAAGTAACTAACTTACATCTGTTAAATACCCGATCAATGTATTTAAAAATAGATAATACTAATAGTTGCGTTTGTAACATTAATTGCAGGAACTTACTAAAACGCCTCATTACCTTCAAGCCCCTCCCTCTACCCGTTCGTCTCCACTCCCTAATATAAAGTAGTATGTCAATAGTTTTAGTTACACGCTGAGTAACATAGCGTTTAAATGAAAGTGAGGGTTGCGGTGACTTTGTTGTCTTTGATTTGCAATTGAAAAGAAGTGAGGTTTCTGTCAAGACAGGGTCACCACCAGCCTCGCTCAAAGCCAGAATACTCAGTTTACAACTGCAACATGGTCTACTCACAATATTAGCGAGTTTTAAAAACAGCGAGAACGCTGACGTCCCGGATATCATGAATAGCAACCGGAAGTTTGATGTCTCGTTTCGCCCCATGTAAGGGAATCCAATACAGTTTTAGATTCTAAATTCCACGCCGTGGATTCCGGATCCAATGCAGGTACTGAATTCCAGATCTTTGTCGGTGGAACTTGAATTCCGGATTCCAATCTTTAGTGGGATTCCGTATTCCCAGAGCTGTATCCTGGATTGCAAAGCCCAGGATACTGGACTTCACAAGCAAAAATGTCTAGGATTCCGGATTCCAAAAGCAAAAATGGCGACTTGCTTGATGAAACGCCTCCGTCTCATGCAACGAATCTGAATGCCTTTGTTTTAAATCCCGAAGTACGATTTTTGTCGAATCGGGGCACTGAAAGAATTCAGAGCATTTGCTAAGGCGGTTGCCATTTTTGACGTCCGGGACGTCAACGTTCTCGTCGCTTAAGGTTTCTGTTATTTTGATGCCCAAAACTATGAAACTCTCACCATCAGATATTAAAGCAGCTTTGAATTTAAGACAGCTTTTTTACTGATTTTAAATCCATTCCAAAACTCTAAACCTATTGTAGCTCCTTGTCACGTTAAATAAATTCAAATGATCGTGTGTAACTCCGTTTTAATTAGTTGACCCTTCAGTGGTGTACTCATCTTATAAGTCCTTAGCTTCCGGAGGTTTCCCTGCCTATCTCTTTCGTTTCTTCCCATGTGTTCAAATAGCTAAATTTTCTCTGTATACAGCCGCGTTCCGGACGTCCTGATGAGCTGTCAGAAGTCGACAATTCTTCGCTCTTGTGAGTCTCTTATGTCTCAACGCTTAATATCACTATGCCTTGTTAGATGTTAGAAGGAAAGGAGGAAAGGAATAAACCCTTTTATACGGAGTATCCGTTACACCAAAGCTATCTAAGCTGGCTAAAAGTCTTTTTAACGTGTACATTTGTCCAGAATAAAACGCTAACAAGATGCAAGGCCCTTTTGATCGCCATCCCAAAGTATACTCATGGCTAAAAATTCACCAAAATACACATAATACTAACAAATGTGAAGTAATATGAAAATAACAAAAACAAAAAGACCGTGAGAAACAATGCCTATTGTATCTTCAATCTTGAACACTACCTATATCCAGTCTTTATTTAAACTACGGAAAGGAAAGCTGTGTAAAAACACAGTCCACGCTCTTCTCCTTCAACACAATTTTTTGAGGTTCCTTGATTTATGGTGAAAAAAATGTCAACGCCAAAATTAAAAAAAATATCATCAAAATTGTAAGTCACGTGGGTCAAAGTTGTGGATATTTGCCATGTCAGAAAAGGCAGCATAACGAGCTCCATCCATATCACTTGCTAACCGATTATCATCTCTGAGACGATGATTACGACCACCAATCGCTGAGCCACATTCTGGGCAGCGGGCCTCTTCCATCGCCCCACCACACTCTGTGATGCAGTAAATGTGTCCTATAATGAGATAAGAATAATAGTACAGCCGACGATCATTCAAAGTGGACACCAGGGTAATTGATTTAGTAAGGAGTGGGGTTGTTATATAGGTGATGTAGGAAGAACAGAGGCTGGGTTGGGGGGCGTTTAATGAAGATTCCCTTCAAATGCATCAACAGCTGGAAGGAGTGTATTCACCAAATACTCTACGAGATTGTTGATGAGAGATTATATTTACCCTTTGGACACTTGAACCAATGCCCTTGTGTTAAACCCATGGCCTTTACAATCAGGTCTTTTTCTTGTCGGGTGACTTTCTGGTAAAAAACTTCAAGGCCGCACGATCGTCCGATCCACTCAATGTTAGTTGTATAACGGTCTCTGTCGCCCTTTTCTAGAAAGGAATCCAGAAAAAGTTTTTGTACTGTGATTTAGGAGAGACGCTTAAAATAGAAAATTTGAAAGTTATGCTGGAAACTTCACAGTGAGTGTGCAATATGCTTGGCGATTTACGACCATAACAATTTTGTTAGGATTTTGATATGATAAATGGTATAATTATAATTCATAACCATGTTTGAAGTTGCGAATTGTATATCCGTAATGTTTTCAAATTAAGTTAGTTACAACCTTTCCCTTCTCAGCTTTATTTGAATGCCCCCTCCCCCTCCCCTTCTGGGTGATGAACACTCGTCTTCACACATAATTACAACGATTCGTTACGACGATGTTTTTTTGGAAACCCCAGAGCTCATAGATTAAATTTACCTATATACGCTAAAACATCAGCCCGTGGTGTGACACAGCAGTACTAAAGAATTACCCAAGCTCTGGGATTCGTTTTTGTTAGAACTTTAGACCTGATAGTGTTTTGTTGCTATTCTGCTATATCATCATTGCGTTCTTTATCTGTCCTTCATTATCAATCCTCTTACCAATCACTTTCTCAGAATCCAAGGCTCTTTGCACGAGGTCAAATATCACGGAATGAGCGGCCTTCATCTTATGTCCCCGGATGTCAAGCTGCATCTTTAGAATCTTTAAGTCAACAGCAAGCTGTGTTCTGTACATCTCCTCTTTCAGTTCCTCTAACTCTTGGTCACTGAACCGCGCCCGAGTCTCCACGACACGGAATCGGAGTTTTTCCACTAGAATGTCTAGTTCTTCTTTCCTTTCCTGCAGTAGTCTTAATGAGTGATAGCTTTCTTGCGCTCTCTCACTCTCAGCTTTTGCGCCTTTGTGTATCTTAACCTTGAGTTCCTGGAGGAAGGACAACAGGCTGATCTGGTTCTCAAACACATTGACTTGTTCATCTGTAAGATTCTTGAGAAGCAGTGACTCCTCAAGTTTCTTCTGGTATTTTGGAAACAATTTGATCTTCTGTGCTTTCAAACTTAGCCCACTAACCGCTTGTTCACGCTGTTGTTTTCCCAGCAGAATCTTTCGCTTTATTTCCTCGAAGTCAGCAAGAATCTTCTTGACAATGTTACCATACCTCAAGCTGGTACGAATGGGAGTTGAGCACTTGGGACAGCGCTTGAGCTGGACACCAACAGCCTTCCCATCATCCCCTGCCTCAACCTGGTCCATCCACTGGTCCATCATCTCGACTTCAAACACATGACCACAATCAGCCAGTTCTACAAACCTTGCGTCCTCGTGGTCTTCAGTTCCGAAGAAAATCTCGGTGACCTCATCCTTATGACACACTCGGCACTTCTTTGGACATCTTTCTCCGCAAAGACCAATACAGGGATGCTTGCAAGGAAGACGCTTTTTACACGGCTCGTTACATCGCTGACGATTACATGGCTGTCCACACAATCTAGTGCATCGGTGATGCACACATTGCCAACTGCATTTCTCGTTGCAAGGCTCACAAGGCTCGCCACATTTTTTCTTGCACTTGCTGTGCGTACAGGAGTTGCCACAGCGTTCTTTGCACGGGGGACAGTTTTTCGTACAAGGCTCAGAACAGGAATGACCACAGAATAGGGTACGGCCGCAGTTTTTCTTGCAAGGAACATGAACTCGACCGCGAAAACACAGACTGCAATTACCTGACATGTGAAAAAAATAAAAACAATAAAAAACATGAGAAATTAACCATTGCTGAAATGGCCTCTGAGAATCGTTATCAAACGTTTTACCAATTTAAGCAAGAGAGAGAGAGAGATCATTGTCAAGGCTAGTTGTATCTTCTTTGGTCGATGCCTACTTTTTGTTGAAGGAAATAGCCAGATGAGTTAATCGATCTATTTTGAAAACTTGCTTCCAGACTTACCAACACAAGGGTGTTCACACTTCAACGTCTCTCCACAGGGTGCCTTACAAGGAGTCTGCATAGGATTCACGTGACACGCTGTCTTATTTTTGTGACCACAAGGCCAGGTTTTGAGTGTAATGGTGGTACACTCCACAGTACACGCCTCAGAGCAAATGTTTTGGCAAGGATGCCCACATCTGGGTAGAAACTTAGTACAAGGTGACGTGCATTTCACTTCAGATGGATCTTTGTAGCAAGGCACACTCTGAGTATGGCCACAGCCGGGCAGGATCTTTGTCACTAGTTTCATGCATGGTCCACAGTCTTGGTAACACCTCCTGGAACACATGTGATTTCTTCTGCAGAGGATTTTAGCGCATGGTTTCTTACACTGGTACTCTTTATGTTCCGGGTCTGTTGGATGACACACCATTTCACACACGTGACCACACGCTAGTCTGGTAGCACAAGGCACTGTACATCCCCCTTCGGGTGCTTTCTTGAAGTCATCAGCACATGACGCCTGAATCACGTTCCGTGGGTGGTTTTGACACGAGAGTGTCAAAGCCTTTCCGACATTACCGCGCTCTTCCATGTCGTCCATTATCTTTCTCCAGAGCTCGCTCTTTTCTTTCAGAAGACTGATGTTGCCAATGCAATAGAAACCTTTCTTGGCCCGAGACAGTGCGACACAAACCCGGTTTTCAGTCTGAAGAAAACCGATTTTTCCGTCCTCATTGCTTCGAACAAGCGACAGCAGGATGATGTCGTTTTCTTCTCCTTGGAAATTGTCCACCGCACACACTCGCACTCCTCGGAAGAAATCCTTAGGCATCTCCTTCTTCAGTTGGATTAATTGTCCTGTGTAGGCTGTTAGGACTGTAATCTGTTCCCTTTCATAACCTTGAAGGATTAAGTAGCGACAAAGGGCAGCCACAAACTTTGCTTCGTGTTCATTAGACCTGCTTCTTCCCTCCTCCTGATATTCCTGAAATTCCAAAAACGAAAATGTCGTGATAATAGTGATAACCGGAAACTGTATTACGGTAAGGATGAGAAATTTGAATCTCGAAACTAGGTTGCATGCGATTTCTGGGTTACTACTGAGAAACAGAGTGGTAACTATAACCCTACCTAACATCAGTTATAATACTTCTTGCACCTGAAGACAGTAAGTCAGCTGTGCATTGCATGCGTTAATGACAGCGCAATTTTGGGTGGGTAAGACAATTGTAGAGATAAATCCTGAATTCACAAAATTGAGTTTTACAGAATTCCACCCAACTTCTCATCATTGTCCTGGTGGTTATTTTCTGTGTCCTCTAGACTCTGCCTTTGCACATAGCTAACATTATGCTGTTAATATTGACAGCTAGACATTAAGGGAGTATTGCATTTCGTGAAAGTGAGGCCTACCTCGCTCTCGTCATGATCCACAAAGTACATGTTACGATTCACGCCCTTGATGTTTGCAAAATTCAGCACTGATTCGTGATTCTCCAACTTAGGGTTGAAATAAATGTGGTCGAGCATCTTGGATATTTCCGGTCTCATCCGGTGCTGTAGACGTAGCCGCTCAAAAGGCATTCCATTTTTTACCATTCTTTCAAAAAGGGACACGTCCAAATTGTAGTGTTTGGCGAGTTCAAAGACAGTGGGATTGGGGCGGAGTTGCTGGTGATCACCAATTAAAATCAAGTGCTGGCATCCGGAAGTCAGAGAAGTAACAATGTGCGACTCGAGAACCTCAGCGGCTTCCTCTACAATCGTTATTCGCGGTTTCAGTCTCTGCAGCAGCTTGCGGAACTTTGCCGCGCCTACATGAAAATTATGAAAAAGTAACGCTTGAAAGGGTTTTAAAAAGTCTTCAACTTATTATAAAATGGCCCGAAACGAATCACTGAGGATCAGTACGATCGATGGTCTGGTTATCAAGCCATGGCTAGGTTACACTAAAATCCAATTTCACCTGTCGTAAAACGACAGTGGCAGAGATATTAAACGACTGAGAAACTGTACCACTGTTTTACTTAGACCCCTTTTTTCGCTCTCTTCCTCTCGTCATTGTGCAAGTTCAACCCGCCAGAAGCACTAATCAAACATACCCGTGGTAGTCATGCCAACGACGTCAGCATTCTTGAGTATCTCAAAGTCTTCCATGTTTTTTATGTCCTTTAGTCGCTTAGCACCCGCTTCAAATTGTTCCTGGAAAAGTGAGATAGTTTGGCGGTACCCATCACTCACATCCTTAAGCCAACGTCGGTACAAACGCCAGCGATCGTTTACGCTTAACCTCCATACATTTCGTACCTACACGTTAAAAGAAACATTAAATCAAACTAAGAAGTTTCAGATTACAATGCTGTAGCGAATGGGTGAATGCTGTAGCCTTCCGTTAAGATTAATGCAGTCAAATCTACATGCATCCTGTCATCTTTACATGGTGTTCTTGCATAAATGTCTCCAAGACTGAATAAAAAATACTTACCGGTGTATATCCTTAAACTTACACTCCTGTAAAAATTCCTTAGTTAAGAAACATGAAGGAGAGGATTAAGATCGGTAAGAAAGTATCTTTGTTGAAATATCGGAGCTATTTATGTAAAGAGCTTCTCTTGCCGTAAGTCAATGCTTTTCATTTGAAAAAAAAAAATTTGCGCGCATGGCACAGACAAAGTTAAAGCGTAAGTGTAGGCACATGAAAACCACTTTAAAAGCAAACCGCAATGTAACATGCTGACTGCATTAAAATAAAGCTCCGTATCATTTTGAGAAACCAGACTAAACAGGGCGGTTTTTTTTTTGTTTTTTTGTTTCCAGCTCACCATTTTTGCTCTTTCATCTGGCATGACATCCTTTTTGCTCAGCTCTTGAATGATCGTTCTCTTCAACCTCTTTTTGAGACGATCAGCGTTCTGGACCTGCCATCCGTCGTCAGATCCTCCAGCAAAAGCAAAAGGATCCACAACCTTCAGTTTTGCTCCTTTTAAGCCCGCCGATTTCGTGCCAAACACTCTTACGTCATCATTATCCAGAAGTCGTTGGTCCTGCATAACATCTGCTTCGTACAACACATCCGGATCCTCAGTGTCGTCTTCCTCTTCTCCCTCGCCTCCTTCATGTCCATCTTGTGTTGCTGCACCACCTTTAGAGAAGCGCAAATGGCGAGAGTGAGAATTACTGTTCATGACTTTCGTTGTGACTTAATAAGCGAAAGGGTGATGATTCTACAGTAGGCACAGTTTTGTGAATTGACTAGTATAACCGATTACCTTCCTGAGCAATTCCACCAACAGTTCGGACCATTTCTTTTCCGAGGGATTCATTGAATATATGAAGCTCGCGTACCCTCCCTTGAAAGCAATGACCTGGTCCGGCAGAAGCTATGGCTCCGATTCGGATGGAAAACTGAGTTGCTAACTCCATTTTACTGCCTATAAACTTCGCCTCTACTGCATTTCCATTGTGCCATAGACGCGCAATTCCAGAATCATGATCATAAGAGGCACCAATAAAGTTCCAAGCGTTCATGGTCAACACTGCCTTTGAAAGGGCTAGAGGCTGGGAAAAATCTCTCCAGACAAAACGAACCGTTAGAATTCCCTTTCCATCTTCCAAGCCTTCTTGCCATATCTGGACTCCTAGACCATCTTCGTGGAAACTTAGGATAGGACCTCTGTTTCCGACCGGAAACACGTGCATGAGGAGTGTGATTGAAGTCCTAGTGTCCAGGTCACTCCCGACGTGATTTGGAATTTCAATGAATGAATTAGGAATTCCTCGTAGATGAATAGATCCACCTTGCGTTCCGTCCGGCCCAGGGGCCGATGCAACACGGGAAAAACTTGCTAGATTGGCTCTTGACACTCTTTCCAGTCCACGACACTGGGTATTCAGTGGGAACACTGCTACGGGCTGTACAGGTGCTGATAAGTAAAGAAGAAACAGTCAGTTGTTATTCTTTTTTTGAACTCACAGTATGTCGTGGGGAGGAAACACTTCCAAGGCTTTACGAGTGGTCAAAAATATCAGTAAGAGAAAAGGGCAATTGCCTTACTTAATGGTTCGTCTTAACGTCTAAAATTTTAATTTTCTTACTTTTAATAGCTTCTTACCGTGGTTAGGGTTGGCCGAGTTCCAAGAGAGGTTTAGCCACTGAAGGATAGCGCTGTCCTTTCGCCCAAAAAATCCGTCAAAAGGCTCTTTTAGAGACTGGTAATGCATAACAGTCATGCTTGATGACGCGCGTTGACGAAGATCGTCTTCGTGTAACACGTTTTCAAAGCACCTTTTCAGGTCTTCAGCTGCTGATTGTAATTTTGCTGTTGTGTGGTCCATTTCCTGGTGTGCATCGTAAAAAGCCCTTCTTATTTGAACCGGAGCTGATTTGTCCTAAATAAAGAGAAAAAATAAAACTTATTTCAGAATGTAAATCGGGGTGGCAGGTGATGCTGATTAACAGGTTAATATATATGTTGTAGTTAATTTTTTATCCTAGGTAATTTTTATTTTTCCTTTGTTTCAACTTCATTAGCATACATTACCATACCAAAAAACAAAAGAAAAACAAAAATTACCTGGAATAAAAATTTAACTACAACATATATAACAGCTACCGACCAAAGTAAGGAAATCCATGATGTTTGTGGAATCTTCTTTGGTGTATTTCACGAGTGACGCGCAAATTGCTTTGGGTATGACTTGAGTCAAAATGAAATCCAGCTTTATGGATTTCAATGAAGTTCGAGTCTCAATTTCCTTCGTGAATAATTTGGTCTAGCAAACAAANTGGTTAGGGTTGGCCGAGTTCCAAGAGAGGTTTAGCCACTGAAGGATAGCGCTGTCCTTTCGCCCAAAAAATCCGTCAAAAGGCTCTTTTAGAGACTGGTAATGCATAACAGTCATGCTTGATGACGCGCGTTGACGAAGATCGTCTTCGTGTAACACGTTTTCAAAGCACCTTTTCAGGTCTTCAGCTGCTGATTGTAATTTTGCTGTTGTGTGGTCCATTTCCTGGTGTGCATCGTAAAAAGCCCTTCTTATTTGAACCGGAGCTGATTTGTCCTAAATAAAGAGAAAAAATAAAACTTATTTCAGAATGTAAATCGGGGTGGCAGGTGATGCTGATTAACAGGTTAATATATATGTTGTAGTTAATTTTTTATCCTAGGTAATTTTTATTTTTCCTTTGTTTCAACTTCATTAGCATACATTACCATACCAAAAAACAAAAGAAAAACAAAAATTACCTGGAATAAAAATTTAACTACAACATATATAACAGCTACCGACCAAAGTAAGGAAATCCATGATGTTTGTGGAATCTTCTTTGGTGTATTTCACGAGTGACGCGCAAATTGCTTTGGGTATGACTTGAGTCAAAATGAAATCCAGCTTTATGGATTTCAATGAAGTTCGAGTCTCAATTTCCTTCGTGAATAATTTGGTCTAGCAAACAAAAGGAACTGAGTAGCAAACTTGGTTGAAACCATTTCAACCTGAATTTCATTTCGACCTACTTTTTTTTTCTACCTTTTATAATTCCGTTTGCAGGCTACGAATCCTTATCCCTATCGATCACTTATTCAGTTGCGAGAAACAACAAATTTTAAGCTACTCTGCTTCGTTACTGCCAGAAACTATGAATTGTCGTTTTGTAGTTTTCGAATTTAATTTCAACAAGCTGTGGACACACGGCCATTTCAGCTTTTTTCCACCATTTGATGTGTCGGTTTATCAAAGGTGTTCGCGATATGTCCATGGTTTTCGTCAGGCCTTTTAACCGGGACCTTGGATTACAAGCGGCGTCTGCTTGAAAGGTATACAGGGGTGGTTGAGGAGTGAAGACAAGTATAGCTCATCCTCGACGTGACAATTGACTCTTACCTTGTGCATCCTGTGCTTCAGCTCTGACAAACTACAAGCCTTCATAACCTCACTCTTGCTTCGTCCTCCGATGCGAACGATACCCTTGGGATGAAACTTGTGGATTCCTTCTAGAAACTGATCGAGGGCATGATTGGTATAGCAGACTACAAGGATTGGACGCCGCTCAGAAAGAAGCAAACGCTCATCCATGTCGTCAAGCAACTCTGTACCGGTGTCCCATTTGCCCTTGTTATGCAGCAACACATTGGCTATCTGCGGTAAACAATAAACGACCTTTGTGGCGGAAGCTACTGATATTAACAAGGGTGGGAACTCCTCTAGACTGCGGGTAGTTGAGGGAGCGAAATGCGCAAGCGCGAGTGAAAATTTCTTGAATCAAAAGGGTTATTAGATATGGGTCGTGAAAGTGTCTACACTGCCACGTTCAACAATCTTTATCGTCATGTTTGAATTTGATTTATCCGCTAAGGTTGTAATGATGCCAAGCATCGAAACGCTAAATAAGCCTATTTTATAGTGAAGTGTATCTTCATATCCTCTAGTTCCATATGTTCAGACGATTCCATCTTCATCACATTTGTAAGAACAGATTAGCTCACAAGAAGCCTGAATGACGACATGTGGAATGTCCTTTACTAATAAACCAATTTTCAGATTTTCACGTACTTTAAGTCCAATATATGTCTTCCCAGTGCCTGGTGGTCCTTGAATAACCGCAAACTCTTTTGTCAGCGCCATCTGTATAGCCCTGTACTGGGAGTCATCAAGTTCCAGCTCTTTCGCGGACGGCCAGGAGGCAAGGCTTAGAATTGGAACACTGCTTCCTTTTGGGAGGAAAAAAGGGCTGTTATGTTGTGACTAAAAATTACGCACTATAATTCTGGACATTTTTTTTAGAAGCTGGCTGGCATAATTAACTTACGCTTAAAAAATTTAAGTGGGTGAATGAGTAACAGAAAGGGTGCAGTGATGATAAAACGTTCCTCGATGTTAGAAGTATTCCATAGGCGCATTTTCTTTGCGGCCAGCTTGAAGATTTGAAAATTTCATGGTAAGATTGAGGTGTCTAAAAATGAGGTTCTACTTACCTCTCTGATTGTTGTCTCTAAGATTCAATCCGGCAAATCGTGCGGAAAATCGTGTCCTTAAATGCATTAGACTGGAAGCGCTGCAAAACCCGAATCGAACAACACCGTTTAGACTGTTAAGTATGTCTGTGACAGCCTTAGTGAGAGCACCGAAGAAACTCTAATACGTTTCTTTCAGTGTAGTATTGTTAACGCAATTATTTTGGTTGTTGCTGAAATTCCCTTATTGAAGACAGCCCGAAACATGAGAAAAAAGAAAACGAAAGAGAAAATATGTTAAAGGATATGATAGGAAAATGTATTGGCTTCGTGTAGACGTCCTCCTTTTCCTTGTGGCACGTGCCCACAGGCTAGAAAAGGCCTTAAAGCTTTTAAAACTAGAACCTTTTATGAAATTCTTTTGTATGTTTCAGTAAAATTCACATGAGCCTGTAAAGAAACCCGCGACATCGAGATGTGTCGTTAAGATTGCCTATATGAAACCCGTCTTCACAAATATAATTGTACAAATTATTAAACATAACGATTATTGTTCGGTTTAAGGGAAAGTTGTAGTTGGTCCTTCGGGCGATGGGAAACAAAACACATCATGGGCATGGCCATATCTGCTTTGAAGACCATTTCCAGACTCAGGGGCACAGGCCTCCAGATATCATCTTATTACTTGTGACGAGAAGGCTCACGTGAAGTAAGGCGCCCCATTAAGTCGGTTACTGCCCAGTACAGTGATTGGATTTTTCGCAGACCATTTTTTACATATGTACTGGAATATCTCACACCAAACTCAATCGTTGCATTTAAGCAACGCCATTCTTAAATGTCTTTGTAAAATGATTTTGTTCAGCTTACCTTGTGGTAGAATTTCTGGACTCTTCGCTCATGATGGGTGTGAGATCAAACGTAACTGTTCCGCGATACCTGTTCCTCAAGTAAGCTGGTGGGTCGACCTGTTTCTCACAGTTGACAATGTACTTCTGTTTTTAAGAAAGTATCACAGAACAGTCCCCATCGACAATTAAATTAAGAGGGGTANGCTAGAAAAGGCCTTAAAGCTTTTAAAACTAGAACCTTTTATGAAATTCTTTTGTACGTTTCAGTAAAATTCACATGAGCCTGTAAAGAAACCCGCGACATCGAGATGTGTCGTTAAGATTGCCTATATGAAACCCGTCTTCACAAATATAATTGTACAAATTATTAAACATAACGATTATTGTTCGGTTTAAGGGAAAGTTGTAGTTGGTCCTTCGGGCGATGGGAAACAAAACACATCATGGGCATGGCCATATCTGCTTTGAAGACCATTTCCAGACTCAGGGGCACAGGCCTCCAGATATCATCTTATTACTTGTGACGAGAAGGCTCACGTGAAGTAAGGCGCCCCATTAAGTCGGTTACTGCCCAGTAATTGGATTTTTCGCAGACCATTCTTTACATATGTACTGGAGTATCTCACACCAAACTCAATCGTTGCATTTAAGCAACGTAATTCTTAAATGTCTTTGTAAAATGATTTTGTTCAGCTTACCTTGTGGTAGAATTTCTGGACTCTTCGCTCATGATGGGTGTGAGATCAAACTTAACTGTTCCGCGATACCTGTTCCTCAAGTAAGCTGGTGGGTCGACCTGTTTCTCACAGTTGACAATGTACTTCTGTTTTTAAGAAAGTATCACAGAACAGTCCCCATCGACAATTAAATTAAGAGGGGTAAGTCTTGGGGGTAAATGGAGCTACGTCACGAGGATACTGCTGTTTTAGGTCAATTCTGTGCTAAGGACATATCACTGATCAATGCCTTGACCCATACATAAAATTCTGTAGAGTTATGGAAACGATATCAAACAAATTTCATCAGGGAGCACTGGCCATAATAATTGGTTGCTGATGTTTGCAGGCAAAGCGGTAAAACTCGAAAAAGTTGGGCCAACGTTTTCAAGTTTTCAATTCATTTCCATCGTTGCCATACGTACAGGAGACGACGTGGAAAAGTTTCAGTTCCTAAATATTGTCTTAAAAAAAGAAATTGGACCATTATTTTTGGAAGCCAGTTGTTGCGAAGTGATAAAAAGATAGCAATTGCAATTAGCGTGGCATAGCCCCTTTAAATGCACTGGTACCTCTGGCGTGGTTTCTCTCGTTTTCAGTCAGTCTCCAGCTTTCTGTTCAGTCTTTTGTTACTAGTTAATGACTGGTCACGACTTTTTATAACAGTAACCATTCTTATCAGTTAACGGTATTGTTTCTTTGGAGAAGGTGTAGCTCTCCAGACATGGTCTGTGATTGGAGAACGAAACAAGAGATGACAGATGGTTCAAAACAAACAATACCCCTAGCGATAAAGCTTATTTAGGCCAATGAAAATAGAGGTCTGGGAGAGCTACTGTACTACTCTTTATTTGTGGCAGGTGGCTCAAAAGGACGTCAATAGTCAATTAACTGAAGTGTACGTCACGAAAGTAGTATAGAACTTCCCTAGTGCGTTTCTAACCTGCAAAGGCAGGCGTGCGGGATCCACCTCCTTGAGTCCTTCCAGTATATGACGATAGGCTTCAAAGTACACGGTGCTTTCTACCATCTGAAACACGTCTCCTTCTTCAAGTCTTACGTAATCAGAGAGATTGATGAACTGTATGTCCACTATACCCTGGAGAGGGAAATATTGGATTCAACTGCCTTAAATGATTGATAAAATTCTCATTGTTGATTAACTAAAAAATAAGGGTGTGATGATGCAAAACGTCAAACGAGATTGATGATTTATCGTGGAAGAAAACTGGTTTGAGTTTGATCTTGCCTAGTCTTCTATTGAAAATTCAGGGTCACCAAAATGGCAAAATATTCTGAATGTTTCCTAATTATTTAGTATCGATATTAGATCATCCTCGGAGACCCAGGGGCAGTCGGGTCGGGAGAAAAAGTGCGACGAAAGTTTTTAGGCACGGGTGCTCTTCTCAGCACGTGCTTGAAACCTTCACCGCGCCGTTTCTTACGACCTGCCTGAATGCCCCTGGGTCTCCGAGGATGATGTTAGGTCGAATGTGAGAGGAAGAATTGTTTATTGTTTATTGTTTTGTTTGCCATAAGTTGTACAAAGCAAAAAACAAATATTTAAACTCTCATGGCGAGGAAGCCCAAGAGAAGCCACCGGGCTTATAAGGAATGGGCTCCCTCAGTTAAATAATTAGAACAAAATATTATCATGATTACACATGTGTGGAAAAGGATGAAAACTTACCTGCTTTAATTCCTTCGGATCGCGATTGGCTATGGTAGCGAACACAAAACTTTCAAACTTGTCCTTGGAAAGACACATCAGCGAACCAAAGATTAATCGTTTGCTGTTCTCCCAGCGCACATTTCTTAGCCTGGTGCTATCAAATTTAATCCTGTACCGAAGTCCGTCCGTCGTACATACAGGGTATAACAGTCGGACATCTTTGTACACGCGGATGTCTTGCAAGGCACCAATCTTGGCAGAGCCAATGCGCTCTAACAGCTTAGCAATTCCTTCACGTAGCGGCCTCACGAAGTCTTCACGAAGGAGACGAAATTGCACGTCCAAATAATGTTCCGCATCATTGTAGCTCCCATCAGTTTTGTTCCTTCTGAGGAAGGGACGCTCCCCTGTCAAGATGTCCTGTTGCGTTGGTATAACGCTGTATTCACGGAAATTATCAGGTGGATCTACATCATCATTCTCTCCAGCTATAACAGAAAATGACGAACAATTTGACTGGTGGAAATATTCTTTTTTTGGTCTTTGCCTTTAAAATCTTTTGTATTACGACGTCATTTGGTGATTGCAACCGTCTGCGACAGCAAGAATTAAAACTACATCTTTTTTGTGACTGCTTAGGTATATTGGGCGACTTGTGTCACCAAAAAAAAAAAGCAACGTTAATGCAGCCGCAATCTTATCGCCTTCACTATCATGCACACTCACCGTCTCTCCGTGGTCTCCTTCTGTGTTGTTTTTCTTCTTCCACTTCCCTCAGCTCATCTGCCTTTTGACTCCTCAGCTTCATCAGTTCCTCTCCTTCTGCCACTAAGGCAACATCAGGCTGTTGTGTGTCGGAAAAAATCCTGATTCCACAATACAACTCAGACACTGGAATGTCTGCGTATGAATTCGGAAATGTTCGAAGCAACTCCTTCATTATTCTCACAACATTTCTTAGAAACGTGGCTACTTCCGTGGCAGGCTTGCGGCAAGCGGACAGCCTGTTGAGGAATGTTCTTAGATGTGCAGTGAAGAAAAGAGATTTCGGCAGAAGGTTTAGTAGCTTGATTAAGAACTCCTTGGAACTACAACCGCAGGCTTTGGCAATGATACTCACCGTCAGTACAATCCAGTCATCCTTCATGGCTGATTGCTGGTTCAGTAAAAACTCGGTAGCTGGGAAACATCGGCTTGACGTCAAATCCAGAATGATTTCGTCCGGGGTTTTAGTGTCCAGTTCCTGAAGTGCTTTGAATCCGAGCCTTACTTGACGAGGATTGTGCCCCTGTGCTCCGTGTTCATCACGTCCACTCCTTCCTCCTCCTCTGCCTCTCCCTCTTCCAAAGCCACCACCACGCCCCCCTCTTCCAGCTCTTCCTCTCCCAGTGCGGTTCCTTTCCCCATAAGTGTCGTCTTGTATTGATTCCCTAGAGTAAGACCTTCTGATGCCACCGGTTTCGCGAGATATTTCACGTGAAAGTGGCCTTTGGTACATCAGGAGAGGCTTTTCCTAAAAGCGAGAAGAAATTTTTAGCAAGTGTCATTTAGCTTCGATGCATCCGTACAGGATCAAAGAGTGTGCAAGTGGACACTCTACAAGTGTTTTTTTTGTGATGTCTCATCTTCAATGTCGTTCTTGTGTCTTCTTGTCCTATAAGATCCGACCTTTTATTTTTTGCGACTGCCATTTCTAAAGAACGGCTAAAAATTATCCGAGGGTGACTGCCATAGAACGAGCAGTCAGTGCAGGTGTTGAAAAAACAAAAAAAAAACAAAAAACGTGAAGACAACCCGCCTTTTTTCTTTACCCGTTTCGCCAAAAGTGCCCAGCGACGAGAGGCGGCCTTATTTGCAAGCTACTATCTTTCAGGCTTATGGCAGTTATTTTCCAAGATTTAAAGATCGACCTCTTGTCACATAATGTTTTTCCTTAATTAGCTGTCGATTGCGTTATTTTGGTGTCCTTCTGCTCGTGGTATTCATCCATAAGCTGTTGGTTCTAGGTCAGTTTATTCTATGGTCTTTATCAATCAGCTTAAGTCAACAACACTTGTTTCTCGGCCCCATTCTGTCACTGGAAAGGAATCCTTCTTCAGAAGGTTTGCATGACGTTACAGCTCGACTTTTTTAAAGGGTGTTAGCCCTTTTCTCGACTTTTTCAGCAATCGTTTATTTCTTTGGTTCACAGATTGCAGCTATCGCTATCAGATAAAAAAATCTTTAATTTCCAAAAATGAAGACCAATTTTCAGGTAACAGTTATCCCATTTTGGCCCCCTTTCCGTCACTCTCTTTCCCCCCAGGACTTGAGAATTTACCGTGGGAGAAGGAGGACCGTCTCCATTGCTCTCACCTCAGCCTTGTCTAGGCGTTCAGCTATTAGAGCGCGGGTGAAACATAGACCGCCATGTTCCACCATCTGAACGCATGGAACAGGGTACTCTGATCTCAGTAAAATATATCCACAGTGCTCTCTGTCACTCCCCTATGCACAACTTAAAAAAATTCCTGGGCGACGTTTGAACAAAGATAGATTTGGCGTAAATGAGGGTCTGAATGGGGGGTCAACATGTCGGTTGTCGGTTAAAATTTTCCATCCTTGACGGTTGTCGGTAAATGTCGGTTAATGATTAACAAAACAATTTAATTGTTCATATTCGTTATTTAATTCATACAGTTTAAACTCTATACCAGTAAAAAACACTTGTTCATTCATCGTCAATTCATCATTTCATTGCAATGGAACCTCAATTAAGTTTGCTTTGTTTGAGCTACGCGATCGCTTAAGTCACCTTTGTTTGCAAAGGCCGATAAAATCAACAATTTTTCTGTATTGAATTTGTTTTCATTGCGATTACCATAACTTCTAGCTCCCATGACGACGTTACTTACATTCTGTGAGTTCGGAGGTGGCTGTATGAGGAGACCAATCCGAGCACGAAAGTGTCAGTCTGTCTGTCACATGTGAAGCACATGATGTCAGCAGAGGTCGATGAGGTGCTGCATGACTGAGCGGGATTTACGCATTAGACGTTTTCCCTTAGCTCCCTTCGTACGGTTTTCGCCTGCTCGCTTAGCACCCTTCGCCTACGAGACTGCGCCAGTTTAATCTGTCTTCAGTCAGTTCTTTCCAGTTCAAGGACCAGCGAAGTAATCATGAGAGAATAAGTGTTTAAGTGAGAATAATATGGGTCGGATTTCAGTTAAGTTATTTTTAGTGACTGAAATCTGTTTCCCGATACGTCCGCGCGGAATTTTTTGAACTCACTGTTGCCTCTGGACGATATCAAATGCGGAAGTCAGCAAAATAGTTTCAACGAGAACCTCTCAATTTCTTCAGATATATATCCTTTTAGTAATCTTCAAGCATCCTTCATAATTTTCTATGTCAAATGGAACGCAGCGGCATCGGCGCTCGATTGCGACCTCTTAACCAGTTCGAAAGAAACTTACGATCACTCTAATAATTTCTCTCATGACTCGAGCATGGATAATATAAACCGCACGTAGTGAAAGTACTGCAGCACTACGTCTTGTAGGCTCGATTGCAACGCGCTTTGCGGGAAATGAGTGCGGGCTTTCCTGGATTTCCAACGAAAAGGAGGAGAAACAAAGGCACACCATTTGAACGGTCCAAACTGAGCTTTGAAGGTGGTGTAGGTACAAAATAGGCTTTCTTCTATACATGCCTTGAGAGAAGCGGAAATCGAACCTACACGACTTGGTTCTCATAACAATTTCACACAAGTAATTTAATGACAGGAAATTCTATAAGTACTGAAACTGGAATTTAAAGTCATTTACCTCTGGTCTGAAATAGAGCTGACTAAAACACCTTCCCTGTGCTGAAAACAAGTCAAGCAAAATACTTTTGACAAAAAAGGGAAATAATAGACAAAGAAAAAGACGACTTATTTCTGAATACAAATATCTGTACAATTTTGGACCATGTCGGTAGCGGGTCGGTAGTCGGCTTGTTTTTATCCTGTCGGTGTAGTCGGTATTTTTTTTTCGTTTGGTCGATAGTCAGTTAATATATTTTTCGCCGTTTGTCGCTAGTCCCCATTCAATGGCTTTGAGGTCTGTAGGCCCAGTTCAGACGTCGTGCTTCTGCCGTGCCGAACTTAATTGTTATTTGGTTCGACCGTAGCACGGCAGGAAAACAACTTTGATTCAGACGTCGTGCCATAGTCGAACCAACTTCAGGATTTACTGATACCTCGTAACAATTCTTCTCCCAACTCCCCGTTGGAACGCAATCTCGCCAAAATACATTAATATAATCTATGAATTTTGTTTAGCGCGGCAGAAGCACGACGTTTGAATCGCTGCCGTGCCAGAGCCGTGTAGCACGGCAGCACTTGTCGAACTTAATTGCTTGCCGAACTTAATTCAAAAGTTTGATTCAGACGCCGTGCTTCTGCCGTGCTTTTGTCGAACTTAATTCCCGAATTTAGTTCGGCATGGCAGAAGCACGACATCTGAACTGGGCCTAAGATTTTCCTGCAAATACAAATACTGTGCATGGGAACATGTTTTGGGTTCTACGTTTTGCAAACTTCAGAACATGTTAATTCGTGCCCGAATCCTCTACTCGAGACAGCCGGCTATAAACTGCATTTCCGGTTTGATATATCTGCCTACTCGGCGTTTTATCTTCGGAAATGACCGACACAAATTGAGAACTAGGCGCTGGTAAAAACGAAAGAGGAAATTAAAATCTAAGAAATACAAATTCCATTTTCCAATTCCATAAGAAAACAACCTTTGAACTTATTTTGGAATAAATCTGTCATGGTTTTTTATAACTAAATTACGTCACTGTTTCTAAGAAAGGCTTTCCTTTAAGTTCAATTTCCTTTGGTTATTCTATTAACACGACATTTGTTTCGTTTGTGCAACTAAAATGAAATTAAGTTTATACGATGTCTACTCCTATAAAATGTCTGTAATGTCTAAAATGGTTGCCATAACAAAAAGCTCGATCGAGCGTTTAAAATGAAATAGAAAGATATAACTGAAGGCCTTTACAAAGAAAATTTCGGTAAACTATTAAATCAATGATCGAAAACTGAGTTACAGGAGTTGACTTTCGGCGATTCGATTGAAAGCCTACAGTCCGTGCTACAAGAGGATCGACGCTAAAATTAAACTCATCTTTTGAATCGTTCTAATTACCTGTCAGGAGCTCACTGCCTTCAATTCTTGCTATTTCCTTCGATGTATATAAAAATGTCCGTTCCTTATCGTTTATTTCATCCTGATACCACTCGTTTGAGTCGTCGTTTTCAAAAGTAAGAACGGTTTTACCCCGGAACTTTGAAAGGTCTTCTAGGAAATTCAGTGCTTTAATACATTCAGTGCAAGCGTTATCCAATAATATTGCAGCAAAATTTCTCAGAAAGCGAAACTCGCTTCGGGGAACAGTCGGGAATTTCCCTAAATTTAAGGACAGGGCCAACTGGTCAAGCGACACTTTTCAATCAATGAGAAGCGCGCTTGTGTTTATCAACAAACAAATCAAAACATCGCCCCAGTGATCAAAAATTTTCAAAACAGCGGACGGAGTCGGACAGAATTAAAGATGAGCTTACAGTACTCGTCTAGGTTTCACATTTAATATTTCAAAGAAAACATTTCATGTAAGAGAATAAGAGCATTAATCATTGCAAGGAATCATTGGAGTGTTCGAACTGATTCCGGACCGATCGCAGAGGTCGTGGCTTCACTGGCATGCCTGCAACATTTTTGATAGAAGCAAATTGATCCCGTGTAAAAATATGAGGGGTGATCTCTGCCAATATTCTGTTTCAAATTCCCTTATGAAGAACCTGCAATTTCTGGTTCGATCATCAGAACCGAAATTAGACCAACAGAACAGAAATTGAGAAGTCAGAACCGAAATTGAACTAACAGAACAGAAAGTACGAAGTTAGAACCGAAATTGAACCAACAGAATAGAAATCAAGAAGTTAGAACAGAAATTAACAAGTCAGAACCGAAATTGAACTAACAGAACAGAAAGTACGAAGTTAGAACCGAAATTGAACCAACAGAATAGAAATTGAACCAACAGAATAGAAATCAAGAAGTTAGAACAGAAATTAACAAGTCAGAACCGAAATTGAACTAACAGAACAGAAATTAACATAACCGTCAATTTCTGTTCTAAAAGGGACTGGGGCCGTGACGACAGCACTGACCGAGTGAAGCCCGGTAAAAACCACTTTAAAATATTTTAATTTATGGCCTGGCGCACGCTACTGGTGTACACGGCTAAGAATCTCACATCGTTTGGCTCTTATGAACTTATTAAAACTCAGATCGCATCGATATTTGGCAAGAAGTTAAAGTTTATAAACAGCTTTTCATTGAATATTTTTTTTCTGGCTGTAAGACCAAAATAAAATTGAAATATGAAAAGTATTGCTCAAAATGGGACCATTTTTTAACAGCTCGCGTAACATTTACAGTCTAACCACGCATATTGTGGGATTTCTCTGTTTCTGTTAATGGTACTTTGGAAAAATTTCTCCGAAGAGGTCAGTGACTTATGAGTACTAACTGTATTAAAAATTACTGAACATAATGCCAAAACAACAAAGTTTAGGGCGTTTTCACAAAGATGTTCTGTCTACATGCGATCTCTGTGCAGCGCGAACGTCAATTTAAAAGATTGGTTTTCATTGACTTTCTGTTGTTGTTAAGAGAAGAAATAATAATTTTTGGAATGCTCATAAGTTAAACCTTCCTTATAGACTAACTGTTAAGACTTCGGGAAACCCATTTTTACGCTAAGATCAAATATGTAAGGTTAGACAGCATTTTTTTAACGTGAAAATTCGTAAACCGTGCGTTGGACCGAAAATCGGATTCTAGAGTGTGCTTTGGCATAAAGATTTTGTGCCTAAAATGTGCCTAAGATGTGCATAAAGTGTGCATTTTAGTTTTGAAAAACGTGCCTAAGCCGTGCCTAAGTTGTGCCCAAACTGTGCCTAATCTGTGCACAAGTTGTGCCAAAATATTGAGTCACTCGGAAAATCGTGTCCAGCCTATCGAGCTCCACAGCGAACGAAGGGCGCACGGCAATTATGTCAGTTTTGAGGTTTACAAAGTCTAGAAACACGGTCTGACGACCTTTTTATCCCCTAATAAGAAATAACATGACTCAGAATACGGTTAGAGACAGCAGGGGAAGCCCCGACAAACAGGAAAATGGAATCTTAAACAGGTTAGCGTATTTAAAGTAAGTGCTCAGCTCAATTACATTGTTGATATGCTAATTTCATCGATGTTAAAAAATTTCCAAGTAGGTTTCTTCTCCCCTTCTTAATGGAGCGTTTAGGTGGAACGAAACATTTGTTTTTTTCGGGAGGGCAGATTTGCATTCAAAAAAAGAATTTACTTGTGATATGACTTATAAAATGAAAACGAAAAAATTGATTGCACGCCGATGAGTTTTGAAGCAAAATAAATGGCACGTCTCATCGATTGTTATACGATCAAAGCTTAATTTGCTAACAGAGCCAGAAAACAAAAACAAACAAGCAGCTTGAATTATTTTACTACTAAGTGTAAATCCTACTTTTTTTAGTTAGAGAAATATTTTTAAAAAGCAGCCGCATTTTGTATTAAAAACACAACACGCGTTGGCATGAAGGTTTCAAATTACCACTTTGTACTTTTCATGTTGTTATGCAAATTCAGGCCAATTTTACCGCGATCGCAAAAAGTATTATTTTTCTACGACTTTTATTGGCTCTTTTTGTGCCTTACTTCTTTAGCTTTGTTTTTGTTATTATGGCTTCGACTTTCTTTCACGATTTCTTTTAGAAACGAAAGAAAGCGAGTCTATAAAATTGCATGGCAATTGAAAAGGTTCAGACCGCATACATCGCGTGTGTAAACATGGACTGTCGAAGAATACTTTTTCAGACTTTCGGCGCGGCTCAAAACTTACACTTCCTATACTTCTAACTGTATCGTGTTTGATCTGAATTATTTTTGTAATTCGTACCAAGTTTGTTCTTTTTTGCAAGTCGGGTTACAAAGATTTTCAAAAAAGTGCCCAGCGTTGAATATTTGTGCCTAAACAGTGCCTAAACCGTGCCAAAACTGTGCCCAAACTGTGCCTAAAATGTGCCTTAGCAATATTTAAAACGTGCCTTAACTGTGCCTAAAGTGTGCCTAATCTGTGCCTTTGCATGTTTTTTTCCCGTGCTTTGGCACAAAAACCGTGCCTTTTCTTGTGCGCGAATCGTGCATAAGGCACGGTGTTACGCTCGTGTACACCAGTAGCGTGCGCCAAGCCTTATGATTATTAACCTCCGCCGTACATATAATTCCAACATGGCCGCCAATGAGAGTGTGTTTCTTAGAAGTATTAGAGATGTTGTTGGAGAAGTATTGAGAGATCTGCGGGCTTCGGTTTCTAAAAGAGCATTTATCGCCTTTACCGGCTGCTAGATGGTCATCGTGGCAGACCTACCAGATAATGAAGCGGTATCGAGGTAAAAAATAACCCGATGTCTATTTTCTGTGTCGTCTTGTCTACTTGTTGTGTCGTCTTGTCTCCCTGTGGCTTTGTCTTGGCTATTTCGGGGATATCCTAAAATATCGACTGGACCCTGGACTGGACTTTGGATTTGGAAAATAAATTACAGGGTGTCCAGTTCCTATTCTTTCCTATTTTTTGACCATATTCCTATTTTTTCCTATTTTTAAACTAAAACCTCGTTTTTTTCCTATTCTTAGTTGGTGAAGCCAAAATTTGTAACAAAATTGGAAATGGAATTATAGTTGTATGTGTTTTAGAGTGAGATATATCATTAAGCGAGTAGTATGTTGACTTTGATGTTCTAATATTAGCAAAAATAATAGTTAAAGTAAATGTTGTTCTTTCCATGACCTCTATTGCCTATTAGAGTTCTGTTAACAACTTTTTTATATTGTTACTTTTTGTATAATTTTCTAGTACACCTATATTTTGCATAGCCCACTGAAACTGTATTTCAGTATCTGCACAAATGATATTTGAAGTCTTATTTGCTTTATGTTTATCTTTGAAACTGAAAACAGGATCAAGTTGTCCTCTCACAAACACAGGTCAGATAAATCATCCAATCAGCTTCTTGTTTAAAGAACCAATCACTAGCTTGATTCTGTATGTTTCATGAAAAGAACAGACTTTAAGTTTAGTTTACGGCACTACCTCTCTTGGTGAACTCTTGTTAACAGCTATACCTAAGCAAATGACAAAAGGATCCAATATTTCGGTTCCGAAACCGGTCTTTCAGACATAGCTAAGCAGAATGTTACGTTCTTCTTAGAACTTAACCATGACACACTTAGAATCTGGTACTAGATAGATCAGTGTCCTTTTTCGTACACCGCAGAAAGCCTGGTTCCGTACTTAAAACTATTCGGTCTTTTGACTTCAAGAAGCATATTCTCAACCAGCTACCTATTGCAGATTAATCAAGGAAAGCTTTCCATAGGAATTTTTAGTCCTAGTTCTATATCCTTCAATGACAACGTAATCGTAAGAAAGTTCACTCTTCGAAGCTTCGAAGGTGGCGGGAGGGGGGTGATTCCAGAGTAATTTTTTTTCCCAGAATCCAAAGTCCAGTTCAGGGTCCAGTCGATATTTTAGGATATCCCCAAAATAGACAAGAAAAAGCCACAGGGAGACAAGACGACACAACAAGTAGACAAGACGACACAGAAAATAGACATCGGGTTATTTTTGACCCCGATACCGCTTCATAATCCGGTAGCTAGGTCTGCCACGATGACCACCTAGCAGCCAGTCAAGGCGATAAATGCTCTTTTAGAAACCGAAGCCCGCAGATCTCTCAATACTTCTCCAACAACATCTCTAATACTTCTAAGAAACACACTCTCGTTGGCGGCCATGTTGGAATTATATATAAGGCGGATTGTAATAATCATAAATTAAAACATTTTAAAGTAGTTTCCTGGGCTGCACTCGGTCAGCGATGTCGTCACAGCCCCAGTCCCATTTAGAACAGAAATTGACGGTTATATTAATTTCTGTTCTGTTAGTTCAATTTCGGTTCTGACTTGTTAATTTCTGTTCTAACATCTTGATTTCTGTTCTGTTAGTTCAATTTCTGTTTTGACTTTGTAATTTCTGTTCTTTTAGTTGAATTTCGGTTCTGACTTGTTAATTTCTGTTCTGTTGGTTCAATTTCGGTTCTAACTTCGTAATTTCGGTTCTGTTGGTTCAATTTCGGTTCTGACTACTCAATTTCTGTTCTGTTGGTCTAATTTCGGTTCTGATGATGGAACCAGAAATTGCAGGTTCTTGAAACAGAATATTAGCGGAGATCACCCCTCATATAAATTTGCCTTCTTTCTTTGAATGTTTTTTAACGGTGGATGAACATTTGGAGAATCCAACAACATTAAATCTTTCCAGATTTGGTGAATTTCAGAAACAAAGCGGTTAGTATCTACCTTGCGCTTATGATCGACATGTTGGACGTGAATATCCATAAGACTAATAAAGTTGTTTTGGCCTTGAAAAGAAAAAAGGCAAAGGCTGCTCCTTCTAATGCGAAAAAAAGTAATAACACGGCTCTGTGAGAAACCTGGGAGTGGAAAACGTACGTGTTTTGGACCTCGGAATTAAAAAATTGTCTACCAAAATTCTAGGTTGTCTACCATCCCCACATTCAACATGATAAAAGTTAATCGATATGACAATCGAGGAAAAATATCTAGAACTTCGTAAAAAATCTGTGAATCGAAAAAATAATAGACCTTGAAAACCGACCAAAATCTCGCCTATACATCGCGTTGTTTAAAAGAAGAAATAAGCCACAAAATGTGCTGAATAGTTTCACGAGACACTTCCAATATGGCTTCCGATACACTGTCCACTTAACAAAAAATTGTGTATGCCTCATGAAAAGTCTTAAAACTATGCCTGAGAGCCTCATCTTGAATGTGGAGATTTTACACTGTAAATCAGAAAAATCTGTTTTAGGCTTAAAAATGGGGCTGCTTCGGTGAGTAAAACACCGCTGTAATTAACTCATAATGTGTCACTGAGATTTTTTTAATGTAGATTTTATTTAGGAGGTTTCCCAGCACAAAGGAAAATATTAAAATTACATTCCATGATAAATACGGGCAAACTGTTATAGCTAGGAAGCTAATGACTACGCAGTGACAATAAAGAATAAGGGTGTAACCAGAAATTCTTGAGCCGCCGATCTCTGTCCCATGTGACGTCGGTTGGAGAATTTTTTATACTCATCAACGGTGCACGACAACAATGTCATTGATTATTACATTTTCTATCTCCAGCAGTGGTGACAAAACCTAGACACAAACTAAGCTTTTCCGTTTTCATGCGATCTCGGAAATTCTTGAGCCGCTGATCTCCGAGAAAGCCGTGCTTTGTTACTCAGGAGGTTCGGTGACTGTAATCTGTCCCATGTGACGTCGGTTGGAGAAGTTGTTATTGCGCGTGCTCATATAACAGTACTCCCCAGGCTTTGTGATGCGGAAACACGGTGGATTACAGGAGGCTGGCGCGTTATCAAGCTGAGCCTGCAGTCTTTTAGGATCACCGGTGTAACACCCTGTGTTAAGGTAAAGGTTCAGCTTCTTGGCGTCAAATTCATCCACATAATCAACGACTTCAAGAGGCAAGCTGGAGCAAGCTTTGGGTTGAAGAGAACTACATCCTTCCTTCACCCAACACACGTTGGTGCGATCCGTGCCTGAAACACACATGGAAACATTTGTATGTGTGTGAGCTCCGAACTAATTTATATTGAAGTAAAGTAAAATGAGAAAGATGATTTTTCAGTAATTGATTTTCATGTCCTGGAATGTTCGTCAAACTCTGCTATTTGATGGAGGCAGTAAACTGAAAACATCTTTCTCATTTATTCACCAGGCTTTTAATTCACCATCGCATTTCAATCAAGAAAAAAATTATTGTAAAGAAAGAGCATTAACCGTGTTTTTTTTCAACTAATGTAGTCACTGAGCAGGCTTCAAAAATGGGGCGGGGTTACTTTTATAGGAGCATATCAACCGTGTACCTTTCTCTTTCTCTCCCAAACAACAAAATCAAAAAAAGAAACTCCTTACGTGCTCTTCCTTCCCCGGCATTGTTCGGGTTATTGTTCGAACCTGGAGAATAAAAGAATTAGGAGGGAGATAATAAGCAATTTTAGACCCTTTTCAGGTGTTAAATGCTACTGACAACACTTTAGTAAAGAGTTTTAAGTGTTTACTGCAGCGTCCTTTTACCAAAGTGATAAGCAATGATTTTTAAGTCTACACTCACGCTATACCGGATAGCTTTTGCGACGCCACGAAAATGATACTGGAAAGGGTTTCTGTTCAAACACAACGGAACGGTGATTTCGGCGAGGTTTCTGTGACTGAGCTGAGCGGAGCTGCGCCGCGCCGATCTCGAACATAGAGCGTCACATATCGGATAGGTTCTGTGCCATTAGTTTGGTGCACTGAGTGTTAACAGGTATTCGGACAGTAGCGGAAGTGAATAAGTAGGGGCACGTATCAAATGGAAACTACTGAAACGGAAGTAAAAACTCAGGAGTGAGGACTGGGATTTAGTTCACCAAACCCTCTCGGCCAACCACTCCTGCACGGTGTTCGATGTGTGTGGACGACTTGCTACAGTCCCGGGCCGTTTCTAGCGCTTTTCACACTTTTCGTGTTGGCACCAGTATAGTGTGAATGCAGCCTAAGTTAGTCACGCAGGTCTTGTCACGTAACGCGCATTTTGTGACAAGACAGTAACGGCTACTTGGGGGACTAACTTAATAGGCCATTTCCGAGTTCCCCCAGGCCTTTGTATCAAAACAAGGTTAAGTGCTCAGTCTTTGATATGGAAATGATTTTTCATTCTCATGCAAATAAAACTTGACCTCATTTTGAAAGTGAGGGATTTTGGAAATCTAAAGTGGCCTATTAGTCCCGCTAGGTGGGAGTAGTTCTTACCGGACCAAACGAAACAAACTAGATCATCAGTTGTAACAGAAATGCGTTCTGGGAAGAAACGATATTCCATGGCGGGATACGCCTGGACAATGTTTCCCCTCTTTCCCATTCCAAAGATGTATCTAATGTTGGATTGCTGGTACTTCGCGGGAAGAAGATTTCGTGGCTTAAGTAAGAACACGTGACTTCTGTCCTGGAATGTTCGTCCAACCTGAGCTGTGTTCAGGGCGAGCTGAAGATCCGTTTGCCCGTCAGTTGCTTTAGTTTTCGGGTTGTTCTTAACTCTGTGAGAGCAAAGACCATCACTTTAGGATAGATCTACGTAAAAATATGTGTTCCAGAGGTTATTTGGCTATCACGATAGAGGGAGATGGGAAGGAGAGATTTTTCTGGTGGTCATGTAACAGTTTCCACGACTATAGAAGTAAATAGGCTGATTTAGCAACAGAACAGGAACGTCAGTTGACGACGGGAAAGCACGCGAAAAGGACTAAACGCGACTTCCGGTGACCAATTTGCCGCTCTGCTATCGGTCAAGCGAGTTGTTGCCATCCACCGGATAAATCACTATCCAGTGGATAGAGATTTATCCAGTGGATAGCACTATCCAGCCTTTGAACAACCGAGGCCAGTTTGATTTGCGCGCACCGTCGTCATCTGGCGTTCCCGTTCTGTGGCTAAATCAACCTAATGACAACCGAGGCTCTTTCACGGGGCCGTGGCTTGTCACGTCGATCAGAAAAAAAGAAAGAAAAACGCACTTGAACAAGGCAAACAGAAGAAAACAACCCTACAGAGTGTCAGAAATTACTGTTAATGAGGACCGTCTGTGGAAAGTTGCCGCCGGATAAATTGCTTTTACTTGTATATTGAGGAAATACCGGCTTCAGTGGTTTACAAATCAAATTGGGAACTACGAGCATTTGATTTCATGGGCTGTCCACAGAGACAAGAAAGCGGCCCTTGCGTAGATGTGTTGGTAGAAATTCACCTGTAAAGAACCCGTACAATTAGTAATATCATTACTACCATTGAATTTTGATATGTTTGAAATTTTTCGAATATTCTTGGATGTACATAAAACCTTAGAGGGAACAAAAGTGAAATAGCTTGTAACCGCTTGGCAGGAGCGTTGTCGAAAGTTTCAGTCTCTAATGATGTGCATTCCGTTTTCCTTAAAAGAGCAATAGGCCTTTCAGACAGGTGGTCAAAAGTACAGAAGTGCCATGCTGGGGCGTAAGAATCGCACTGGGACAAGGAAAGGAACTCTATTATTTTCACTTACTTTCCGTTGTCTTTGACGTTAAATTCACGTGGGACGTCATCACTGGTGATGTTATACCTACAACAAAGCGTAACTCCATCATTTGGGCAAATGCACTGGTAATATAGACACTAGATGGTCATGAAATTATCATTCTATCGTAAACAACCTACAACTTAACTGACATTAAAATGACCGTTATTAGTGTGACAAAATATCGCGGCTTATTACTGACAGAAGACCAACAACATCGCCAATTTATTGAGCAACCAGGTTAATAACCAGAGTGAAATACCATCAACTGACATGATATAACTCACTTTAACTCTCAAAATGAGTACCGAAATGCTTTTCAAAACGCCAGTTACTGTCAACAACAGTCCTTTCTAGGACTAAACATACCAGGACTTGATTTCATTCCACCTAGTAATGATCATAGACACTGTTAGCAGAGCCTTTTAATTATCATAACAATTTTAAAACTCGACGCGCTCGGCGTCGTGTATTTTCGTCTGTGGGTTTTGGTTGGTGATGATATCTCTTAACCCTATTCAGACCAGGGGAGCTTTTGGAGCCCCCCCTCGCGAAAAAGTTAAACAAGTTCGAAACGTTTTAAGCTATGACCACCAAACTTAGCGGCTTGTCCTATCTGGGAACATTTTTAAGTCGTCGTCAACATTGACGTTGCCATGGCTACCGAGTTTTGACGGCCATATTTTTATCCCATCAGTCCTTAAAAGCTTGTAAAGATGGCTGGTATCGTGAATAAGGTGCAAAACCTCAGTTAACAATGACCTTAACCAGGTAGTTGCGTCCTGCAGTTTTAGTGAAAACAAGGGTTTGGGTGGGGTGCTCAGTGCTCTGAACTTCAGTACTTTTCAATGAAACTTGGACTCTGAATTCCAGTCGTTAGTGGAATTCTGGATTCCTTGAGCTGTATTCCGGATTCCAAAGACCAGGATTCCGGATTCCACAAGCAAAAATTTCCCGGAACTCCCTGGAATCCGGATTTCCTTACATGATGCGAATAAGGTCTGTGGCCGTGCACTTCCTACCTTATACGTAGCACGCAGCGCTGTGTTGTGTTAGTAGGAAAGCAGGGTACTTTCCACTTATAAGAAGAAAACTTGCCCTCCATATTTATTCCGTTATGGTTTACGACCGTGNCCAGAGTGAAATACCATCAACTGACATGATATAACTCACTTTAACTCTCAAAATGAGTACCGAAATGCTTTTCAAAACGCCAGTTACTGTCAACAACAGTCCTTTCTAGGACTAAACATACCAGGACTTGATTTCATTCCACCTAGTAATGATCATAGACACTGTTAGCAGAGCCTTTTAATTATCATAACAATTTTAAAACTCGACGCGCTCGGCGTCGTGTATTTTCGTCTGTGGGTTTTGGTTGGTGATGATATCTCTTAACCCTATTCAGACCAGGGGAGCTTTTGGAGCCCCCCCTCGCGAAAAAGTTAAACAAGTTCGAAACGTTTTAAGCTATGACCACCAAACTTAGCGGCTTGTCCTATCTGGGAACATTTTTAAGTCGTCGTCAACATTGACGTTGCCATGGCTACCGAGTTTTGACGGCCATATTTTTATCCCATCAGTCCTTAAAAGCTTGTAAAGATGGCTGGTATCGTGAATAAGGTGCAAAACCTCAGTTAACAATGACCTTAACCAGGTAGTTGCGTCCTGCAGTTTTAGTGAAAACAAGGGTTTGGGTGGGGTGCTCAGTGCTCTGAACTTCAGTACTTTTCAATGAAACTTGGACTCTGAATTCCAGTCGTTAGTGGAATTCTGGATTCCTTGAGCTGTATTCCGGATTCCAAAGACCAGGATTCCGGATTCCACAAGCAAAAATTTCCCGGAACTCCCTGGAATCCGGATTTCCTTACATGATGCGAATAAGGTCTGTGGCCGTGCACTTCCTACCTTATACGTAGCACGCAGCGCTGTGTTGTGTTAGTAGGAAAGCAGGGTACTTTCCACTTATAAGAAGAAAACTTGCCCTCCATATTTATTCCGTTATGGTTTACGACCGTGGACGGAGCGTAGATTACGTCGGGTGGTTTCTGAACGAGAACATACTGCACCGGTTCATCAGCTCCTTGGGACACTTTGTGAGGCTGATAAGGAATGCCTCTTTTCAACTTCATATCGCCCATAGCGTGACAAGTGCTCAAAATTCCAGAGGTTCTCTCCACAATGCTTGTGATGAATTTTGTCCATCTACCGCCTGCAGCTTTACAAGTGTTAGCAGTGATGTATTTAGCAACGCACTGTTGTGCAATGTGGTTGGTATGTTCTCGAGGACAGTGTAAATTTCCAGGCAGCGTGGATGGCATAATACACATGTCTGCAAAAAGATTAAGCAATATTCGGGCTTCCTTATTATTTACGAAAGAAAATTAACTACCTCAAAATTGAACCTTCTTGTTCTGTCAGTGAACCACCATAACGCGTTAGAAGAACTTAAAGATTTCATTCGTGTGAATTTAGGAAGGGAAACATTAAGTGGTAGAGATAGTTTTTCAAGTCCGGGACTTTGTTTGGAAGAAGAAAAAGAGCAAGGAAGACCCCCTGATATCGCTTGCCTTCGAACACAAAGCGGTTCACAGTGATCCGCAATTAACAACTATTAGGGATGGCAACTCCGTGAAAGTTCGTGCAGAAAGCGTTGTTTGTATTGAACTGTTTAGACTGAACAGAAGAGCTGGATCAACAGTACTCTAGGCAAGACCAGCATCTTTGAAGTCGGCAGGATGGCGCATTCTATCGCAGACAACACAACTTCCACTTTTGAAATGTTTAAATTTCCTCTCAGGTCGGGTTGGGGTCGGCAAAGTCGCCTTGCGTAAGCTTTCCTTATATGATGATCACTACTTTCTCAACTACAGAATGCCTGTATAGTGTGTAAGTCATTTTAAAACTCTGATTTCTGTTCACAGCAACAAAACCAGTTCGATTAAACCAGGAACCATTTGAAGAACTCAGTTCAGACTGGCGTTGGCAAAGAATTCAACCAACGATTCAACTTGTGCTATCACTTGTGCTAAATTTGTAGTAGTCAAAAATCAGCAAGCTTCTTTTATGTAGGATTAAATTTTTTATCCATGTTTATGAAATAAACAGCTTTTAACATGTTCAAGCATAACACGATTTGGCACATACTCACGTTTGTAGCCATAATGAGAGTTGTTGAAGTGTTTCTCCATTAATTCCAGAGTCTTTTTATTACTGACAAGGACAGCAATGTCGTTCCACGGGGTGGGGCCCCAGTATGGATAGTAATCACGTTCCTCAGGTACTTCCAGGCCCCTCCTTGTTCCTGCTGGATTTTGCCTTGTGTAGATTGGCAAATCACCTTTGAGTTTCAGGTCAGCGGTAAACAAACCTATTGAAAAAGACAATTTAGGTTAGGTTGCATGGAGACAATTCGCTTGACTCAAATGAATCTCATGTTCACATGGCTTATTCAAGCTTGTATTTTTCTGATGCAGGTGCCAAAATAAGGGCACAAGTGGACGCTAACGCGTTGAAGGTTTCACCTCTTCGAAGATGAGCATGACACTGAGTTTGTGCTGTGAGAACCTTTTGGGGGACAAATTTTGACGCAGTTTCGAAGAAAAAGTTATCGTCAACAGCTATGCAAGTTTCTTGGAACAACAGAAATTTTTACGAGGGAAAGAGCTCATTCTCCACCGGATTTTTTGGTACATCAATGTGGCCGCAGTTCCATCGTTTTGGGTACACCAATATGGCCTCCTTAACTATAAGGACCCCAATAACCTCCCATAGAGCAATCTGACACAACACCAACCAAGTCTTTTTATCAACTCCCTGAAAGTGTACACAATTTAAGAGTATACTTACCTTTGTTTCGCTCTCTGCGGAAGTAAGCTTGATAGTAACTGAGTGGTTCATGAAGGCCACGATCCTTTCTGATGTAAGCATTTTCCCGAGCTCCGTTTGGTGCAAATGCTTGTTGAGTAAGTGTCTGACCATTACGAACGGTGTGATAATCAAAGGCTATGTTCACATCTGCGGAAGTCATCTTTCCTTCGGGGTACGGCTGACACATGTACTGTAAGATGACTTGTGACTCCACCCTGTCGTCGGTTTTTGGTCCTGTCCCGTGTTGATTTGTCCACATGATTTCGACCTCGGTTTTGGCTTTTTTGTGACATCCACCCATGTAGAACTCCTGATAAATTATTTAAAAAGGTTTATGAGACACTACTCTCAAACTATTGCGACAACCCTTGATACAATAGTATGATTTGTAGATAATCGATTTAGACAACTTACAGTCAGTAAGGGTACGTTACTTAGTCGGATAAAACGATTATCTCAGAGATTAAATCGACTATCGCATATTACGTTAACCATGCGATGATGGCAAAGGAATCCGCCAAAAAGTGTGCTACAGGTTTTGCGTTTAGAGTCATTTTGCTTATTAAACCTATGGCTGTTTTCCGGTTTGTTCTCTTCGTGGTTGCTCGAACTCGTTAGTATCGTTACCAAGAAAAAATAACTCTTGATCTGTGACTATTTCCTTGAAAAACCGACGACTTGATAGAAAACGAGAATTACGTCCTCAAAGACTCATTTAAGTCAGTATACTTCAATTCGGTCCCCAGGATTGAAGACCCCCTGTGAAACGTGAAATTAAGCACTTTCACGTCGTAGTCGTGAAACGACGGCAAAATTAAATGTACAAAAAAGAGTGTTGTTGTTTTGTCGCTTTTTGACGTTTTCGTTGCTGTCGCCGTCGTCTTTGCTTAAGCTCCTTAATATCTAGACACCAGGCCAGCTTTTTAACAGTCATATCCAGACACCCATCCACCCGTTCTTACCTCAATCAATCTAGTGTGAGCCTCTATTATTATTACTATTATTATTACTATTATTATTACTATTGTTATTATTATTATTATTATTATTATTATTATTATTATTATTATCATTTTTATTATTTAAGTGCGGGCGACAAGAGGAGCCCGCAATCCTAATCTCCAGGTTGTTATTACGCACGCGTCGCATGTATGTAGCCAGCGTTCGTTTGGACTTCCACTATTGAATGTATAGAATGCACAGAACGCAATCTGATCACGCGTGTTTTGACTATCTGTCACGTGAAACTTACGCAAAGCACAGCGCTGGAGCAAAAGCGTTTTGACCTTAGATCGTTGTCGCCCGCACTCCGTAACCTTTGGTTATTACTAGTTCTAGTTATAATTACCATTGGCAGCTGTCTGATTTCAGGTATGTTATCTCCTGGGTTATTATCCAGCTTGTCTCCAACATTGTACCCAGCCTTTCCATTATTCTATAAAAGAGAAAAGAATGCTTTTAATACATCGACCCGAGTTTTTAATCGCCTTAAGATATGGTGTTTATATTGTTTTTACGTACGTGTACAAATATGAGAAACCTCGTACGTTAGCGTAAGGANTTGATAGAAAACGAGAATTACGTCCTCAAAGACTCATTTAAGTCAGTATACTTCAATTCGGTCCCCAGGATTGAAGACCCCCTGTGAAACGTGAAATTAAGCACTTTCACGTCGTAGTCGTGAAACGACGGCAAAATTAAATGTACAAAAAAGAGTGTTGTTGTTTTGTCGCTTTTTGACGTTTTCGTTGCTGTCGCCGTCGTCTTTGCTTAAGCTCCTTAATATCTAGACACCAGGCCAGCTTTTTAACAGTCATATCCAGACACCCATCCACCCGTTCTTACCTCAATCAATCTAGTGTGAGCCTCTATTATTATTACTATTATTATTACTATTATTATTACTATTGTTATTATTATTATTATTATTGTTATTATTATTATTATTATTATCATTTTTATTATTTAAGTGCGGGCGACAAGAGGAGCCCGCAATCCTAATCTCCAGGTTGTTATTACGCACGCGTCGCATGTATGTAGCCAGCGTTCGTTTGGACTTCCACTATTGAATGTATAGAATGCACAGAACGCAATCTGATCACGCGTGTTTTGACTATCTGTCACGTGAAACTTACGCAAAGCACAGCGCTGGAGCAAAAGCGTTTTGACCTTAGATCGTTGTCGCCCGCACTCCGTAACCTTTGGTTATTACTAGTTCTAGTTATAATTACCATTGGCAGCTGTCTGATTTCAGGTATGTTATCTCCTGGGTTATTATCCAGCTTGTCTCCAACATTGTACCCAGCCTTTCCATTATTCTATAAAAGAGAAAAGAATGCTTTTAATACATCGACCCGAGTTTTTAATCGCCTTAAGATATGGTGTTTATATTGTTTTTACGTACGTGTACAAATATGAGAAACCTCGTACGTTAGCGTAAGGACACAGTTGTAATCTTTCACTAAAATGTTTGACCTTCTTGAATTATCTATCGGCAGCAACAGCGAGTCAGGTTTTAAATTAAAAAGGTCCTCTTCCTATGAAAATTATTTAAAATCTATTCTTGGTTCTATGTCATGTTGCGAGGTTACTTTAAGGAGGACAGCTTATTGGTTGTTAGAATGTCGTCACGTTATTTTAAGAAAGAAAAATGACCTGGGAAGTCCGTATCACTTCCGTCGATTAGTGAAAAGATTTCTAAATGGAAAAATCTGGCAAGAGTACCCGCCGACGGGGAACATGGTCCTTCTAGCTGGCGTCAATCAGTGAAGAAAGCGATTGTGAGAAGAGTCTTGTGATGTTGATCCGACGGTCAGGGGAATAACAAACAACAATGGCCTTCGCAGAACTTGGGTCGAACTAATAATAGATCTCAAATAATTATCATGGGCACATGGATTCACTCTCTTTCCTCATTTTCTCTTGCCGAAAGCCAATAAGCGAGGTTTTTTCGTCGGACACTTTTGGGGGTAAAATTTGAGGATTGGTACCCTTCACGCTGCTAAATACTAATATGACCGCCGTTATTCGTGATAACTGTAAGGGACATTTACAGGTATTGAGTCAAAAAGATAAAGGATCTATCATTTGCCCCTACTGAATCAGCTATCTGTTTCTAACAATTTTCATGTGCTAGTATGGTAACTCTTAGCAAAACGCCCCGGGAAAGTTTTGCTTGTGGAATCTGGAATCCTGGTGTTTGGAATTGGGAATCCAGCTAAAGGAATCAGGAATCCACTAATGATTGGAATCCAGAATCCAAGTTCCAATGACAAAAAATAAGGAATCCAGTACCTGAAATCCGGAATCCATGGAGTGGAATCCAAAATCCAATTAAATTACATTGGGCGAAAGACTAAGGCAATCTCACAGACTGGCTTGGCACAAACACAAACACTTCCTTTAAGCTTCTGTCTGTTTAGACTTTACTTTACGTAGAGAAAACTTAGAGCTCTCACGAAACAACAATAATTAGGAGATTTTGGCAACACTTCAAGCTGAAAAAAGATATACTTTACTTTTCTCTTTCATTTCTTTCCATTTCTCTTTTTCAGTTTTTTTTCTTGCATTAGTGAGTATTGAGAGGCCGTCCGTGCAGCAGTCAGATATGAACATAATGTCCCACTCCGAAATATAACATACTAAATGCTTAAAGCAAGAGAGAAAGCTTAAAGATATGCAGCAAAGATCAGAATAGTCCTACCTGTGAATCAAACAGTCTGGCGTCGTTTCTGACGTTGTCTTGGTTACCATTCAGTCGATTGTTTGATCCGTGTGGAACATGTAGGTATATGTCTGGCAAGCAAAGTTCTATAAGAGCAGCCGTCAGACAGCTCCAAACGAAAATGCTCTTCATTTCCTACGCTTATGGAAGAAAAGAAAAACGCAAATTGATTGGAATTACCACTTCATCCATTAAATCAATTATATCGCCAGTGATCGCTATCATTAACCGAAAAAGCTAATTATTTCAAGAGCATTATTTCAGGGGTAAATCTTTTTCATCAGACCATATTTTCCGCCTACTCCCAATAAACCCATGTGGTCCAGCATGTTTAGATATTTTTCTTGTGACCGTCAGATTTAAAGTTATTTTAAAGTTATTTAGAAACACTTTGTGCTCTATTTTTATTTATCGATCCACTGCGTAACAAAAACGCTNGTCGTTTCTGACGTTGTCTTGGTTACCATTCAGTCGATTGTTTGATCCGTGTGGAACATGTAGGTATATGTCTGGCAAGCAAAGTTCTATAAGAGCAGCCGTCAGACAGCTCCAAACGAAAATGCTCTTCATTTCCTACGCTTATGGAAGAAAAGAAAAACGCAAATTGATTGGAATTACCACTTCATCCATTAAATCAATTATATCGCCAGTGATCGCTATCATTAACCGAAAAAGCTAATTATTTCAAGAGCATTATTTCAGGGGTAAATCTTTTTCATCAGACCATATTTTCCGCCTACTCCCAATAAACCCATGTGGTCCAGCATGTTTAGATATTTTTCTTGTGACCGTCAGATTTAAAGTTATTTTAAAGTTATTTAGAAACACTTTGTGCTCTATTTTTATTTATCGATCCACTGCGTAACAAAAACGCTTTTGTTATACATCGATGTATAATAACATGCGCTTTTTCGCCAACTGTTCGTGTTCATCCAAATCAAACAAACTCCCTGCGGCTGTTTAATAAACTTCCTATTGACAACTCCCTCTCCCGGACAGAAATTTCATAAGCAAAAACAATTTTCCGCAATCCATAATAAACGGTTATCCCGCGAGCCTATTATTAAATTTTTTTTCTATTCAGGTCTTTGTTGTGCAAAGCCGTTTTTCCGCATTCAAAACTATTTTAACACAGCTCTCAGCAAGCACTTACTGAGATGCCTTTAGAGTTAAAGCGGGTGTTTGAGCTCTTTATCCTAAGCGCAGCTAAGCCTGGTTGCGCTATGGTTTTCATGACTTCCACGCACAGTGATAAAAGCCATCTTCAATTGTTTCTACCCACATAGATGTATGTTTCACAAGGACCAGAGTTGAAAATCTCGGTTTGAGTACAAAACTAAACATTTAACAAAAACGTCTAATGGCAGCAGTGTCTAAATCTATACAGTTCAAATTACTATTTCACCATGATCTTTATTAGTCGATTATTATCTATCTTTTAAAACTTTTCAATTGAACGATGACAGAAGGGAAAGAAGCGTTTATTAACTGAAACTACTAACAGTATAGTTACATAGCACCAACCTAGCATTTTAAACTTATGTTGAGCGCGATAATTGAATTTAATTGAAATCAACGATTAGAGTGTTCAAGTTGACTTGTTTACTGGAGAGTTTTGTTAAATAAAATTCTTTAAAAAAGAGAAAAGAGGTGAAAAACATGGAAGGAAACTAATTGCTCATTTTAAACTGTCTTCAAGCTTCTTGGCCATCAATCTGAATACATCTTGGCTACCTATACTTAAGTGTCAAACTTAACAGAGTAGGTTATTCGTTGAATTAAAAATAAAAAAAGAAATTAAATAAATAACAAAAAACAAATTTAAAAAACATTTAAAAAGTACGACCACTGATTTACATCATTACGTTCATATCCATTAAAAATACCAGTAAGGGCGTCAAATCTAAAACTAGTATTGTAGCATATTGTGTAATTGATAAAAAGGAAGTTACAAATATTAAGTACTATATAAAATGCAGTTTGTGCAATAAGCATGCATCTGAGTAAGTTAGCAAAACATTTGTAAGTCTCCAGATTACGAAGACTGGACAACGCAAGCAAGTCTCTCAAATGCTTTGGCAGTAGATTATATAATTTTGAGGTAGGAACCAAATGAATTGAATGCTTGCAAACTTTGCAACTAGTCGTCTTTAATCTAGGACTCGGTGAAAAGTTCTTTGCTTCACAGGCCGCATTTAATATCTGACTGGTCTTTCACTGAAGTCTGCAATCTACTTAGGGCCAATAGAACTTACAAAATCAATGGTTTCTGTCTAGTGCACAATTTGTAATCGCCCTTTTTGTGGTATTCGTAATCCTCCCTTTTGAGAAGGCCGTTAATAAAAGGAACAGAAACACATGACCTTTTAAATTAACAACAGCAAAAACACCGACACAGAAGTAAAAATTTCGATAAGAGCATACCTCCACTTAAGCCTTCAGTTGCTCAGAGTCGTCAAGATCTAAAATAGACGTCAGCAGTCTGCAAGTGCCGGGTGCAGGTTAGTGACTAAACTAAATACTATTAGCCTTACTCACTCTTTTAATAGCAATCTCTCTTGCTAAGTTATACAGAAGTTAATGAATCATACCACTTTATTGACACAATAGGAATTAAATATTATAAAAATAGTAGAAATTGCAGCAGAATTTAGAACCAATTTAACCAAACTCGTTTTTGTGTATTTAACTTAACCGCTTCAACGACTCAGCACGTGACAATACTTTTATCAGACAATAACCAAATGATAAGGTTAACAAATATACGTATAAAGACCAATTGTTCTTTCAAACAACCAAAAGGACCCTTTTTTCCACGATTGCCCCCATTGTTTTGATTGAACGTTCTTTGGATTTTTATCTTGTTTTAAGCCGCATGCTCTTTACAGCGTACTTTAACTGTTATCAGACTTTACTGGGAAGATAAAAAACTGATCGATCACGTCTGTGGATGCTCACAAACAATACTCATCGAAAACAGGATTCTTCTGCTGCGATTTTAACTGCAATTTGCAATAAAAGGCAAGATCGTTTTTAGCCTGAAAAATGTTTTGCAATACTATGTTTATAATATACATTTGCAAGTCATATATATGGTGATCGCAACGTGAAGTATTGAAAGTAAGAGCTGCCTTCAACTTATTTTAAGAGCGTTTTCCACTTTCACATACAATTCCTGTTGAAAATATTCCCCAACACTGAAACTTATGAGTTCTTCAAGTTCAGACAAGCTCAGCGTTAAAAGATTATTCCCAGATTATTCCCTAATTATAGCTATTGGGGCTGGTGTCCACTTTTCAAACAGGGGCAACCAACCATTCGAAGGAGCAAATATTGCCTAAAATTCTCTAAAGCCCGAGAAAGCCCAAAAATCTCTGGATAACCATTTCCATTCTTCCAACTTGTGTTTCTTCACATTTTATTACCAAGGCAGTGCAATTCAGTATTGCTCAAAGATAATCTCTCCTGAAAATTTTAACATAAGAACAAAAATTCCCCTAGATTTTTCCAATGAAGGAACAGCTACTCCTTGTCCTCGACCGGACCCGCTATGGTATAGCTCAAAGTTTCGCCGTTTAATTGCCAGACGAAAAGATTCCTAAAAGATTGGAGACGACCAAAGTTCACCTGAAGTGAGATATCTGAACGGGATATAAATAGTTTTTCGGAGTGCTTCAAATAGACCTTCCGCTGTATTGCATAACGTCATGGTCAACCAACACACATCCATCTAAAGTAGATGTGGTGAGAGCAAAAACGAAAGAGGGAATTTTTTTGTCGCCTGACCCTTCTCCCTCTCTTGATATTTTGCGCCTGCCACAACGAAGGCTACAAAAAAACCCTTGGACTTGTTTATTGGTTGTTAATGGCCCTAATGAGCAGAATTTTATAAACATGTTCTTTTGTTAAGACTCCGGTTAATGAAAAACAACGACTCCCTGCGGTTATTTAATAAGCATTCTTTTGGATACTCTCTTTACCGGTCAGAAGATTTATAAGCCTGAACAATTTTCCGCAATCCTGAGACAAGTATCCCGTATTATCACTATTATCACTATTTTTGTTTGTCTATTTTTGGCCAAGACTTTTAATTTTCCGCATTTAAAAACGCTCCTCCGCAATTTAACACGTCTTATTCAAGTTCAGTGTAATGAGTCAGTTTCACTTACTCGTATTTTAACGTTTACTACAAGAGATCCTTTCTGTGTCAAAAAAATTTATATTGTATTTGAGCTTTTTTATTCTTGGATGTTGAATTTTGTTAAGAAGCTAAGGTACTGATGAGAATGATCGATGCTAGAAAACATTTTGCTCTTTTTAGGACTAACCAACTGAATACTAAAACATCATTGCAAACGCCCTCACAAAAAATTACTTTCACAGCAGTTCTCTTTGCAGTCTTCGATGGTTTTCAGTGGGTTATAAATATATTCCTTTTTTGAAATAATTATAATAAGTGTTAAATATTCATGACCAAGTGTTTTAAAAGATATCGTAAACCTTAAAGTCCCTTTCATTTGTTTATGTTCCCGGCAATGTTTTCAAACAGAAACTCATAGAGGAATTATGGACCATTTTTAAAAGCTTAAAATTGACACAACCGCCATCAAAAAACTCGTTAGGATTCGATATATTCTTTGACCTTCTTTCCTCTACTCCTAAAAGTCAACTAGAGCTTAGAAGGATAGTTGTGTCACGATTGAATTCTCAGTAAATATATCGTTTGTACAAGTAGGAGCATTAAAGCATTCAATTGCAATTCAAGTACTTTTATTGAATATGCCAGATAGTTATAGCCTGTAATTCTTACATTATAATCATTCCCGACTATATTCGCCCGGGACTATTTGTTAAAAAGTGGCGATAATTAGTCCTTCAGTTATAGCTGTCAGATTCAGCGCTTGTAGCTCAGTTCAAGGCAACAAATTGGACATCTTTTTGTAGTAATCACAACGTTCACAACAAATAAATTCTTCCAAACCAAGTTAACTTACACTCATGATATTGTTAATGTTACCAAGTATTCGAAACCATGTGCATTAAGAGAGCAATAATAAAGTAGAGTTTTATTACGAAGATAATGCGACACGGGTGACTGTAATCTGTCCCATGTGACGTCGGTTGGAGAAGTTGTTATTGCGCGTGCTCATATAACAGTACTCCCCAGGCTTTGTGATGCGGAAACATGGGGGATTACAGGAGGCTGGTGCGTTATCAAGCTGAGCCTGCAGTTTGTCACCGGTGTAACAACCTGTGTTGAGGTGAAGGTTGAACTTTTTGGCGTCAAATTCGCGGTCCACGTGATCAACGACATCAAGAGGCAAGCTGGAGCAAGCTTTGGGTTGGAGGGAACTGCATCCTTCCTTTACCCAACATACGTTAGTGCGATCTGTGCCTGAAGTGCAAACAAAACAGTTCGTCAAATTTGGAGACGAAGCCAAATGAAGTACATAACAGTATATCGTCTTCATTCTTGTTATCAGCGGCTCCATGTGCAAACAAGAGTTTTGGCATTTTTCATCATTTTTATGAGTATAATTTTCATCGTTTTCAGAAACACTTCTAGACTTGCTGTTGGTGTAATTTAAATTTTTGGTTTGGTTTTAGCACTAGCACTAGGCCAATGTTGCAGGTCATTTTTTAAGTCATCCTGCTTTGTACCACATGCATGGGAGCCATGGGACCATTTGCTGAGTAGCTTGGGTCCCACCGGATGTGACCCATGAATATATAGAACGTTTTCACTCACGTGGCCAGCATCTAGGCTAATTTATTGCAACAAAAGAAAGTTTTTACATAAGAAAAGAGTTCAACTCCCACAGGATTGTCTTGGTACACCAACATGGCCGCCGCGATGTGAAGTAAAACCGCTCTATAGTTTCTTGTTCTAGAGAGAATACATTATTTTGTTGTTTGACCATAGGTGTCATCATTTACCTACAGAGTATCTGACCCAAATGTTGCACGGTTATGGTGGCATTTTCATCAGATTTAAGAAAAATTTTAGCTGGCACATTTTCTGTATTATATAAGTTAGCATATTAAAAAAGAAAAAAAATACTGGTAGAATTTTGGGCATAATTTCCTCAAGAAATACGAGGACTGCTATTGGCAAAATTCAGTGCTACTTTTACGAGCCCAATATATCAAAGCCTGATCCAAATATCTAGGTGAAAAAAGCTTTGTATGAGAAAAAAGTTTATTCCATACGGGTCTCTTTTTGGGCACCAACATGGCTGCCGTTTGTCGACACGACCGCCGGGACGTCATTGTGCGAGAAACATCTATGGCCTGATTCTCATTCGAGGTCCGCAGCCACTGGCTACAACTCTCATTTATAGTGTGCAACCACGTCAAATACTAAAACAAATCCGAAGTCACAAAATTAGCTAGAATTGATTTTTAATAGAAACATTTAACTTACGTGCTCTTCCTTGTCCATCACGATTGTTTGGATTGTTGTTCGAACCTATACAAAGAATTAAATATAATGAAAATTAGAGATTGGATGCTGATTGTGTAATTTAAGAACGTGTTTGTTTGCTTCATGTGATTTCTGGACTGAACGATCTTACAATTGTGGCAATATATAAGGCTACTGGCTCTTAAAGCTTCTTCGATTGATGTTCAAAAATATAGGGTCGAACGCTGTACCGTATATTGAAAGACCTTCGTCAACTCAGGCTCTGTAAGAAAGACTAAATTCTCATGAATGCACATCTTTGTCTAAAGAGATCAGATACTGACCCCAAAAACCTAACACTAAAAGAATTCTTGAATATCTCCAAACTCACCCGACCATACGAAGCAGATAACATCTTTGGTAGTTACTGAAATGCGTTCAGGAGTGAAGCGATATTCCATGGCGGGGTAAACCTGTACAATGTTTCCTCTTTTACCCATCCCTCCAATGTAATAAATATTGGAATGTTGGTATTTGGCAGGAAGAAGACTGCGTGGTTTAAGAATGATCACGTGACTTCTGTCCTGGAATGTTCGTCCAACCTGGGCGGTATTTAAGGCGAGCTGAAGATCGGTTTTACCATCAACAGCCTTGGTTTTCGGGTTATTCTTAACTCTACAAAAGCAAAAGAAAATCTTAAATGTTTCCAAAAGAGTTGTTCGGTAAAAAATAGGAAGCAAATTTAGGTTGGGGAAGATAGTAGACAATTTCAGTAGTTTCCGCGAGATTTACCACTAGTCTCTGCGAGAGGACTCCCAAAGGCTTTACTTAGACTGAGCTTTAGGAAAATTATTGTGAAGGCTGTAAGGCAACTGATCGGCCCCAGGTGTTCCACAAGTGGACAGTGCTATCTATTAAGTAAATCACTGTCCAGTGGATAACGCAATTGGTTTCCCAGAGAATGAATAGTGATTCGTCCGGTGGATAGTGTTAACCAACAAAAACTGAAAAAGTGAAGTTAGGACCAAAGCAAATGGTAAATACCAAACTCATGGTCGAACTTCGCCATTAATTAAACTTCCTGTTTTTTTTGCACAGTTGTCTATAAGCAGTAGTAGTGAGCTTTGCTGTTCAATACTTAAATTCAGCGTTAACGTTCCGATAGCTTTGTGCGCTTTATATTTTATTGAAGCTTATTTGCTATGACAAAATCTGCGCTTACTAACCTTGCATTATCACTGGCGTTGAACTCGCGGGGAACATCATCACTGGTTATGTTGTATCTATCAAGTTACATAATAAAGTACAAAATTGTATTAAACGGCTAGATCAAATCCTATTCTGGTTAACTATCTCTCTCATTGTTTGCGCGCATTATAGGTATATTTCAATCCATTATATGTTTGGTCTCAGTGCATGCGCAAAGTTGTCAGTATACGTCAGTATTGAAACCGACTAACATACCACTTACCTAATACGTAAAACGCAGCGTTGTGTTGTGTTGGTTGGAAAACAAGGAACTTTCCACTTGTAAGAAGAAAACTTGCCCTCCATATTTATTCCGTTATGATTAACGACAGTGGAAGGCGCGTAGATAACATTCGGGAGTTTTTGAAGGAGAACAAACTGTTTCTTTTGATCAGCTCCTTGTGAAAGCTTATGAGGTTCATATGGAACACCTCTTGCCAGCTTCATGTCTCCCTGGTCATGACATGTGCTCAAAATTCCAGCTGTTTTTTCCACGTAGTTGGTGATGAACTTTTTCCAGATGCCACCGGCTGCTTTACACGATTTCGCTGTGATGTACTTGGCAACACATTTTTCAGCCAACTTGTTGGCATGATTTCTGGGGCAGGTCTGTTTCCCCAGTGTGGATGGCATAATACACAAATCTAAAGAAAAGAAGGTCAAGTAAGGATTGGTTTTCAGGTACTGTGCTAGCAGAGGTCTTTTTACGTAGCAAGATCGAAGGGCCGGGCCTTTCTCGAAAGGTAAGTTTGAGGGCGGAGTCAGTATTCAGCCTTGCAGGTTTGAAGCGTAGGAAAGATATGAGCATAAACATTCTAAGCTAAAGTATGATAAGAACTGAAAATTCTTCAATTATCATCATTTTTTGATTGACGATTTTTTTAACGGTGAGTCAAATAAGGCGACAAATTAAGCGTTAAAGAATTAGACCGAAGTCAAAACGCGTCGTTTCATTGTAGTGAAAAAGTATATATTTCGTAACCGAAATGGGTAACATTTTTTTTTGTTCTCCACAAAAGAAACTCTTGAATCTAGGCCTCTTTCAGCTTTTTGATTTGTCTAGTATTAAGAATGTTCTTTTGGATGGTTTATGTAAGAAGAATAAAGACATGCACACCTATGGAAATGCTGCGGTAAATAAACTCACTACCATTTACAGCGCCAGTTAACGCCATAGAGCAGTTACCAACAAAAAGTAAGCTGAAAACTTACATTTTTGGCCATATTGAGGACCATTTACATAGTTCTTCGTTAAATTCAATGTTTTATGATCGCTAACCATGATGGCAATGTCATTCCACGGGGTGGGGCCCCAGTAGGGATAGTAATCACGCTCCTCAGGTACTTCCAGGCCCCTCCTCGCTCCTGCTGGGTTTTGCCTCGTGTGGATTGGCAAATCACCTTTGAGTTTTTGATCAGCGGTAAACAAACCTGTAGTCAGTTAAAACAAGTTTCAGTTAATGGAGATTTCAATTACAGAAGCGCACGAGTTGAGACACAAAGATCCAACACAAAGGGTTAAATTTCGATGCGAAATTTCAGGATTTGATGCATGTTGAAAGTATGTCACATTACTGCTCTCAGTGTTTAAGAATTGCGAAAATCAGTTTTGGAGCTAATAAAAGTTGAATTTAGCAACTGCAAGTAATTTTACATGCTGCAGGGTGTCCCTGGGCCCTAAATCAGATAACATCCTAGTCTTCAAGGCTCAAAAGTATATATAAGAAGCTTTTGATTCAAGTTAATTGTAGTCTACAGCTGTCGGAGCTACCTATCCTCTCCTTAGTATTACTCATTCTAGGCTGTTTAGACCAGTCTCTCTTTTTTCCATTTCTAACTGCTGAACATATATAAATGTCAGGCAAATTGCCGCAGCTCATGATCAAGGATGCTACAGATACATTATAGCGCAAAAGTGCGTACATAAACTTCTCACCTTTGTTTCGTTCTCT